TAGTTACTATAAATTTATAAATTTGTTTCGTATATATATATATATATATATATGTATATACATATATATAAAAGAGAAGAATATATAAGAAATAAGAAGATTTATATAAACGAGCATTATTAAATATATACAACTTTTTTGTTTGTTGTTTGTTAATTGTTATTTATATATTAACTAATTGAATAGAAATATATATACGTATATACAGAGCAGATTCATCTAATAAGATAACTTTTTTTTTTATAAACTGAAACAATTTCTGTAAGATTTATTTTTCATAAATTAATACTCGAAATATTTAATTGAAATTTCTGTTTCTGATATAGATTTCATATACATATATGTAATATAAAAAATTGTTATCTATAATTTTGTTCTACTGAAAGTAGGACGAAAGAACTACAATTAACTCAAAAAACTATCTTGTTTAAAACAGAACTAATTTTTTGTTTGCCGCGTACTATTCATGATATTAATTAATTAATATTAATATTATCCGTATGTAAAGTAAATAATGTTTTATACTGACAAAAGAATCGACTTCATATTATATATGTGAGAATGTTTAAACATATCAAAATTTAATTTAAAAAAAAATAGATAAAGCTACAATTTATACATTGGAAAATTGAATGTACAGTAGTGCGGTCATAAAAAATTTTAGTTCAAAGAAAATTTAGTTAAAAAAAATTTAAATATATAATAAATAATTCAGAATTTCATTATCTAGTTATAAAGAGGCTGTTATTCTTTAACTATTAAATTTGTTGAATCGTACTAAAAATAGTTTTAAATTGTATAATACAAAAGACCAAAAGAAAATTATAGAATTTTTAAATTATTCAATTCAAAATTGGTTTTTAATTAATTCACGATTTTCTTTTATATAACATTGGTTTAAAAAAAAACACAACTTAATTTTTTATAAATATTTTTATTAAAAATTTAGTTAATAAATTGTTTAAACATTTGATGAAAAACACGAAATAAGTGCCAATATAAAATATTTCGCATTTTTAATTAATATTGTCTTTTTTTGTTTTGTTTTTTTTTTTTTTTAATTTATCATAAATTATGTCGTCGAATTTTGACTTATTTAAATTTTTGTTACAATTTGCAAAAATAATTAAAATATCTTTTTTAGTTTTTATTTGAATCTTATTTTTCGATGGTTTTATGTACATGTAAAATCAACTGAAAATCTATAGATTTCGAATCAAAATTATATTAAATTTAACTATACACTGTAAGTCTTTATTTAATTAATTATTAAATATTAATATTATAATATAATTGAACTAAAAGGCTAAGCCTTAAGTCATATTTTATAACAAATAGAGTACACAACATATATTTTATTTTACGAACTCAAATATAATATATTTTTTTTTAAATTAAAAATGTTATGAGGTTAAAAAAAGTTCAAATAAATTATATATACATTGTTTGTTAATTTTTTAGGCAAATTTTTTGTTGTTGCTTTGTTTTTTAAAATAATTTTAAATGTTTTTAAGTTTTAATTTAAATTTAAATTTTAATTGTTATTGTTATTAATTAAGAAAAATATATAAATATGAAAGAATATAAAAATGTATACTTATAAAATACATAGAAAATATATACAAGAATATACTCCAAAGAAACCAACCAAAAATATTATATATATATACACAACTTAAATTATATACAAACATTTACAAACAAAAAATATATATACACCAATTGACGGAAAATTAAAAAAAAACGTTAAAAATTTTAACAGCAAAAATTGCAAATTTTGCACATTGCAATTTATTACATAGAATAAACGAACGGTTGAGAGTTAATATCCCAGAGATTTAGTAAACCAAGCAAAGTCAAATACATACATGTATATTATTAATATAATCAAGGTGAACAAAAAGTAAATATTTGCCATAATAAAGTTATAAAATGAAATTAATTATATTTATATTAAAATAAAATTGACGGAATTTTATTTTTTTTGTAGTTAATATTTGAATAAAGAAAAAAAAACAATAAAAATGAATATATACATATATACAATTAAATTATTAAAAATAGTTATTGTATTTCGTAAAAATCCAATAACAAAACAAATTTATATAGATATTTATGATGATATTGTTAGTACCTAAAATTTGTAGTTTTTAACGAAACAAATTAAAAAAATGCAAAACCCAATATTTGAGATTTTATTATTTATAGAAATTATATATTTATAAAGTTGTCGAAGAAGAAAGAGTGCAGTCTTTTGTTGAAAATATTATTATATGATATTTTTACAAAAAAAAAAAATAAAAAAAAAAATAAATAAATAAATAAATAAAAAAAAATTAATAAATCACGAAGTAATTTTAGCGTTTATATTTAGCGTAAAATTATATGAAACAAAACTGAATATAATAAAAACTGAATTACTAAAAAAATATTGACATAACTCACCAAAACAAAGTTGTTTTATTTTCAAAATAAGTAAATTAGTTAAGATATCATATATCTTTTTTCACGTTCTGCTGTTGAAGATTGGAGATTACAAAAAAAAATTTCTTTTAGCTTTTTATATATATATCAAATTCTAATTTAATTATATTCCAGAAATCTGTTGATACGAAAATCTCTATGATGAAATTCATCTGCAACCAACTTAATCATCTTCGTATTTGGATCTATAGTTTAGAAAAATTTTAATAAAATTATTATTTTTAAAGTCAGGTCAGTTGTTGTGACATCATAAGTGAAGTTATATAAAATTGGTGCTGCTGTTCTTGAAGAATTTTACATCATTTACACAACAATTGCTACCGTAATATTTGCAGTAGACGGTACTACCTGGGACTGTATCTTTTGTGTCTTCATTAGATTAAACTTTTCAAATATTTTATTATTTGAACATAATAAAAAAATTAATTTATTAAAACGGGTAAGAAATTTTCAAAATCAAGCAATTTGAATTTGATATTTAATTTTTTAACTTATTAAATAAATGTGTTCATACTGGTATTAAATTACCTTTTAGTAAAATTGTATGCTTCTCAATTATTTCTAAAAAAATGTATTATTTTTAATTTTTAATTTAAATAGATAAAAACAATTAGTTTATATAATGTATCTTTTCTTTTATCACTACCTAATCACATATTATTATGTATTAAAATTATATCGAAGCTCTAATATTTTGCTAATATCATATATCATAATTATATTTGCAGCCTATAGTTTGAATTTATGGTATTTAATATTCTGTGGAATTTGTTGAAAGAGTTTATTAGCTTATATACAATTTAATAAGAAAAAGCTCCAACAACAATGTTCACAATATATTATGCCAATAGTTATATATTTATATATATAATAAATATTTCCATTGGCTTTTTATCTATGGTGTTGTGAGTGCTATTCTATATATATTACATATATTGACAATAATTTTTTTATTTAATTTTAAATTTAAATACTTTAATTTTTTGTAACATATTTAATTTAATTTAATTTTTTTTAAGTACTAATATTTATTTATTGTATTCAAGTTTATATATATATCTAATTAAATCTATTTCTATTTCAGAAAATCTTTGGAAAATATCAATTCGATCTGTAACGTCACTGAACTATACTGCCCAAAGTGAATTAATTAAAAATCAAAATCAAAAACTACAGGAGCTTAATTCGGAAACAAAACCAATTGATTCAAATAAAAATAATATTAATACCAGTAGTAAAGTGGCGGGCCCATCATCTACTAGTAACGAAAAGATTGTGCCATTTTCCTATCCCCATACCTGCCCGCGATGTGAAAAGATGTATATGTACAAAAAGAATCTTATGCGTCATTTACGTTTTGAGTGCGGTGTCTCACCATCAGAGAAATGTATTTATTGTTCCTATGTGACACGTTATAAACAAAGTTTAAAAGTGCACATGAAGACGCAGCATCCGAAATATGTCAAACAGTCTAAAATTTCGTAAATTATTAAATTTTTCGTAAGCATTTATTTTAAATTCATCAAAGACTTAAAATAAGACTAAAGAATTGAGTATTTAATATTATTATCAGTTAGTGATAGTTGGTCGTGTTCTTCTGTTTTATCAATCCGTTTTTATGTATAATATTGAATTTGCGTCTCCAAATTCCATTGGAACATATTGGAACTTAAATGTACATAATATATATATATATAATATATTTATATATATATTATAAATATGTATGTATATTATATATATGCATATAGTAATGTATATATAATTAATATATATAAAATAATATATAATATATAGAATAAACTTCATTTTGGACGCAATATGAATTAGATAAAAATATATTAAAAGCAATTAACATAAACTGCTGTATTTAATTACTATCTATTCTATAATAAAATTACAACTAATTTATAATGAAAATTAGATTGATTTCTGGATCTCGAAATTTATTTATTTAAAAATATTTACTTGTGTATGTAGAGCATTAGTGATAATAATAGTAGTATAGGACGTCGTAGCAGGAGAGTTGAATTAAGGTAAGCTTTAATCTAAGTAAATATTTTGGAAAATAAGAAAAATGAATCAATGTTAAATTAATTGAAAGGGAAATTATTTTTGTGTAACGAACAAAAAGTATTTTGAAATAAATTGATATATTAAAGAAACTGAATTGTCTGACTTTTTAATTATTTATAAGCAATTTAATATTAACTATATTTTTTTTTAAATAAAAGTTAAGTGTATATAAGTTATTAGGGACATATAATTTTGGCACTGGTTAAATTATTTTACATATGTTTTCAATATTTTTTAACATATTGTTTTAAGATTATTAAGATTACAAATAACTTTATGGTTTGTGATGTGCTTGTTTTTTAAATATTTTAATTATTAATATCGTACAGCTACTGAAACAAGTTAACTTGCGCTTATATTCTCTTCTCATCCGCGATTTTCTTTTGTATTTTGTATTTTCTAAGAATTCTAATTATGTGCATACAAATAAATATGAGTATATGAAATTTTTATTTCTTAAACACACAGTTAAGCATGATAAGTCTGAACAAACAGACATTACTCCAGAGGAATTCGAACTAGATGATTGTTTACTTGAGAGTAATGATATCGTTATCACTCAAAATAAGGATGGATTTGTACTACATGTCAAGAAATTGGGTAATATAACTGCATCTAAGATACCAACTACTGATGAAGAACAAGTGGCAGCAGCTGCCGTGGCTGCTGCTACTGGAAACCAAACAGCACATTTAACTGAAGTACATGACGTTTGTGAACCAAAATCAACTCTAACCACTTTAACCAATCAGGGTATTAAACTGCCATCTGCAGAATGTGGTAAGTTTGAAGAAAACTTTACATTTCAATTATACATATACGTATATATTTTAATTATTTGAATTATTATTCGAATATTAAGTATTCGACTAAGAAATTTTTTATTAATTGTCCAATGCCATAAGGATCCAAACATAAATAATTCTATATATTAAAAAAATGTTACATTATTCTTCTCTCTTAGAGCTTATCAACTTAAAAAAAATAACAACTCTTGCTACACATCCAAATACCACAATTATTCAACCACAAACGATACATCAACATCAAGCCCAACAACAACAACAACAACAACAACAACAACAACAGCAGCAGCAACAACAACAACATCATCAAATTCACCATCAGGAGTTACAACAACAACTGCAACATCATCCACAAGTACAAAGTATAGTCACCACACATCCTCAATCAGCTTCAGGTGTACAACAACAGCAAACGATTAATTTGATGGGTCTACGTAATGTCCAAATAACAGAACAAAAACCAATTGTGTCAAGGATTAAATATTCTCGTGGTAAAATTATAACACCACAAACGAATCTACAAATTGTTGAAGCACATGATGCAGGACAACATCAACATGATTTAACCGAAGGCACAAAGTATGAGATAAGTGAAATTGACTTAAATAATCCAACAACGTCCGCTGCAATAATAAGTGATTTTGTTAAATATGCCGAAATTGATGATATCGAATTACCAGACGGTACGAAAATTGGCATTGGCTTTGCGCCCACCGAAATCACGGATCATATTCAAAACACAACAGGATCTACACAAATAACCACAGTTGACGATTCAGATGTTGGACACCATCAACAAATGCAACAAACCCAACCTCATCACATACAACAACATCATCAAACACAGCATTTGCATTTACATGAACATGATGACGCAACCACCAGTGTTGAGGCAACAATTTTGCCTGAAGGTATTACCATACATGAACAACCAAGAATTACAAAAAGTTATACCATCTTAACGACTCGCCCTATTAAACAAGAACAATCAGTAACACTAGATACAAGTGCAAATACATCATATGAACTGTCACTAAGCGATTCATCTTTGGGGCATCCGGATGATCCAGAATCAAAATATATCTGTCGACATTGCGGCAAAAAATACCGCTGGAAGTCGACATTGCGTCGTCATGAGAATGTTGAATGTGGTGGTAAAGAACCATGTCATCCCTGCCCATATTGTTCATATAAAGCAAAACAACGTGGTAATTTAGGCGTTCATGTGCGAAAACATCATCCGGACAGGCCACATCTAGAAAGTAAGCGCGGTCGTAAGCCTTAAATTAGTAAAAACAAAAACAACAACAAAAACAACAAAATATGAATTAAGTTTTGATTTAACTTTTAGTATATTTAAAATGAAACAAAACTAATTAAATATCAATATAAATTCTTTAAAATATTATTGAGTTTCCCATGCTCCCTTAATAGCATAATATCAGTTATGATTATTCAGTAGAAATGATTACTCAAGTTTAGATATATGCATAGATGCTTAATGCCAAAATATATTTGAACATAATTTTTTTTAAATCACAGAAACGTAATCAACCATGAATATAAAAAATGTTTGGGAAACTTAAATTGCCTCTCACCATAAACTGTTTCTTACATTTTTTTTTATAAATACATCCAGTTAATTTTCATTTGTATACTAACTTTTAAGATAATTGTAATATAACTTAATAGACAAAGCTAAGAAGTGACAAAGTATTTTTATTTAGTTTTTAGAGAATTAAGAAAAAGCCACAGGAAGGGCTATTGCTTTATATTATTATTTGAAATTGATTTCTTAAAATTAAGTATAAATATTTAAAACTTTTAATTACTGAATATACGAACTTTATAGACATTTATATAAGTATAATATATATAATTATATTAAATTTAAAGTAATGAATAGAAAAATGAAAAAGTGCAAATACAATTTTTTAGCTGAGCTAATATTGTTTAACAATTGTATATTTACCATACACACATATGACTTTGCTTTAAAAGTTTTATTTAATTTTATACCAAATTAAAAAAAATATATATTTTTTTGATATATAATTTTCAATAATTTTTATATTATTCCTTAACACCTTAAAGGGGATGTAATTTATAAAATTGCTCTTATTATTATTTCATTAATCATTAATTAAAAATTATTTTTTTATTGATTCCGTTTTTTATTTAAAATAACATAAATTTGTCACTTAGCTTTGTAATAAGTAATATTCACATAAACATAATATATTAAAAAATTGAATTTAAATTAGTAAATTTTTAGATTATAATATACACCTACGTTTAATTTGAGGCTTTTCTCGAGAATACAAAATACTTGAAATATGTTCACAATATATTTAAAATAATAAAAATATTAAACTTCCCTAATTTTTATTTAATAACAATAGAGTGTACATGAAGTATAAGTATAAAAACAATTTTATTATAAGTGTTGTCAATAAAAATAATTGAATGAAAAATAATAAATATTTTAAAATAAAAGTAAAAGTAGTTACATATTTAATCTAAACAATGTAATATCCAGTAAAAAAAATTTCTTGTCCCTGAAATAAAATATGAGAAAAGTTTATATTTTAAATATATGAAAAATATTTTAATAATTGTATTAAGAAATTTAGAAATTTATTGAAATCTGAATAGAATGTATATGTATTTAAAGGTTATACAAAAAACAACAAAAAAAAACAATTTATTTCAATATTTTGCACTTTTTTCTAAGTTAGAATTTTACAATATTTATTTGGTAACAAACCGAATATTATATTAAGTGTGAAAAAGTGCTTTTTATTTTCCTACCCTGTATAATTATATATAATTGTATATATGTAATTGACATAAAAAATGAATGTTTATAAAAACTTTTAAATATAATTTTATTTCATTAAATCAATAAAAGTTGTGTAAAATTACACCAATTTGTTTTACTCATTACTACTACATTAACACATAAACACCACATTTTCATGATAACAATTTTTACTTTTACAGATCAGGTGCGCACAGCATTTATATATCTCTTGTCCTTGTCCTTAGCCTTTATACTAATATATTTTTTTCTTTTCCTTCCAGACGACTGTTCGTTTTACTACATACTACTTAATAGAAACTTTCTACAACAACTTTAACATGTCTGTAAAACATTAGTCAAACATTAGATTAACGTATTTTTCCTTTGCAGGTGCGGTTTTCATATGACGGCGACGACCCATCAGGACATGATGGCGTGGAAGGATACGGAAAATGACTGTTGCCAATGATAATAATCAATTACATTGAATTGTAAATTATTATTATACCATTTATACATACTATGTTATCAGTTTGTTTTTATTTAAAATTTTTCTAATTTTTTATTATTGCTATATATGCCACCCAGCAAATTCCCCCACCCCTTAAGGTTTTTAATACGCTGCGCAAACGTTTTTATACTTTTAAACTAATTGTGAAATTCTTTTTTGTCACACACAACATGTAATAGTTAAAAAACAAGTACTTTTGTTGCCTCCAGATTAACATACTGAATATAGTTTTAATAAATGTTTAAATAAAAGATTTCATGTGTGCCCTATATAACAAAAATTTTTTCTTAATTTTTTTGTACATAATCAATTTTTGTCGAAATATCACATTTTTCATAGTCACTTGGAACTTTTCCTTCATTCCTTTTTTAGACAATTGCTTTTAAATAACTATTTTTTTATTTTTTTTTATATGTGTGTGTTCTATATACACAGTAGCAAAAATGTAATTTAAATGTCCGAAATATTATATTTGATATTATATTTCTGAGATACTTTTTAGATTTATTGCAAATTTGAATGTCTGTGCCTATGTGGAATATTTTATTTTTACATTTTTGCTTTTCTCCATCACAACTGCTTATTCATCTATTAATTCGCTTAACACATCCCATTCATTGTAAATACTTTTTATTCATTTACATTTAAAAAACAAACAAAATTGGCTTTTGGCATTATTCCTTAGTTGAACTTAGTTATTCATTTCTAGTTAATTGTAAATAACTAAATTTAATTGCTTATTAGTCTATTATATATTTATTAAATTTAAGTTGAACTTATTTATTAATTTTTTTAATTTTGTAAAGTATAATTCGCATTTAAAATAAACAATTTTGTTGTGCCAGTCCAACTGTTAATTTTTATTTTTGTTACCTTTTCTTTTGTTTTTGTTCTTTTCTTTTTATTTGCATACGTTGTCGCTACACAAACAACTATTCAACTATTTCAACATCATCAACTACAAACGCAACAAAACTCTTTAAATTATTTTTGTATTAACAAAATCGAATAAAATTTGATGCAAAACCACTTAACCTCAAAAAAATCCAACCACTTAACAATAACAACATTATGCATGAAGATTTAAGTATTACTCGCATTGCCGGCCTTACTTGGAATGAATGGAACGCTCGCTTAGCTATGCCGCTTGTTACACAACTGCGCGAAGGTTCTCAACCAATAGTATTTCCAACAGATTTATCTATAAATGCGATGGAAAAGTCACAAAGCAGTACGGCAGGGTCCACAGGAAGTTTAAGTGGCGTAGGTATTACCGAGCGTGGCACTGCAAAAGAGCGTACTAAGTCACCAAATAACAGATCGGACACTCCAACTAATGAAATCAGCAGTGAAAGTGCAGCAAAAACAAGTACGCCGCTTAATTGTAGCGCAAATACTACCACTGGTAATAGTGCTGAAAAAGGTACGAATGGAACGTCAAAATTGAAAATATTTTCGGAAGAAGAAGCTACAATGTTAATGTTAAAAGCTGCTGCTGAAAAGTCAGGTACTAACAATAGTGGAAATATCAGTGATAACAGTTATGGTGATGATAATGGAAACTTAAGTGGTGGTGGTGGCGCCGGTGGGGATTATCATGCGACCATTAGCTCTGCTGGCGCTTTTGCTGATGTTGGCGGTGCAGCAGGTCTCTGCAATATTAATATTTTAAATAGTATAAGCGCAATGAATAGTCTAATTGGAGGCAGTGGCAATGGTGGAGTAAGCATTGGTGCTCCAGGTGGTGCTGGACATCCTTGCCCTGAATGCGGCCGTGTTTATAAACTAAAATCATCACTGCGTAACCATCAGAAATGGGAATGTGGAAAAGAACCACAATTTCAATGTCCATTCTGTGTATATCGGGCGAAACAGAAAATGCATATTGGACGTCACATGGAACGTATGCACAAGGAAAAGTTCATAAAATTAGATGATATTAAAACATTTACAAGCTCCGGCGCAAGTGTCGGTGGTGACGACAGTAGCAGTGCTACTGCGACCGCCGCGGCGGTCCTTTCAACAGCCGCCGAACTAAGACAACATTTTTCGTAAGCGTTAGTTTTAGGGGTTTTTTTTATAATTTTATACTTATATAAATATATATACATATATATATATATGTATATATATTTTATTTTTATTTTATTTAATATTATTTTTTTTATGAATTTTCAATCATATCAAATAATTTCAAAAATTTTGGGTTACCCAAACTAGGAGTTGACAGAGTTGAGATACAACTAGAAAAGAAAAAAAGAGAACAACATTAAGAAAATGAATCAATTTAGGTATTAACTTTGCCTTACAGACACAACTTTCAATTGAATGTTGTTTCAATCAATTAGTATAAATTAACTTGGAATTAGTGTGCCAAATTTTTATATAATTATTATATATGTATTTTATGCTAAAAATTAAGATAAAGTTTATATTTCTATTTAAAGTTTCAATGTATATTGTATATTAAAACTTTATGGTTGAAATTCAGACTATGCCATTTTGCAATTGTTATTACGATGTTAAAGCACTTTATTCTGTTTGAGGTCGCATTGTATGCGCTGTATATATTTTAAAAGCTCAGATATATATATATATATATTTGAATGATAATGAACAGGAACAATGAATTAGCTAGCACTAAAAAATTTAATTTAATTTTAATTAAGAATACTACAACGAATTTTATTAACAAAAAATATTCATATACATAATATCAAATGGTTATCCCTGATCTAGTTAAAATCAGTCATTTTTAGTTCCTACTAATTACCATTATGTAGGAATTATATATCAGATAAATATCGCCAAAATTTCTTAATTAGAGTATGCCAAAATGGAAATTTTCATTTTTTTTTTTTTCAAATCTGTTATTTAGTGCAAGCTTCAACTAAATGTTTAAAACTTTATAATATGTAGGGTTTACGTTAACAATTTAATATATATTAATATGAAAACATAAAGTTATAAAATTTGACTTTTATGTTTTGTCTTTGACTTCCTTCGCACGATGAGTTATTAAAATAAATATTAATAATATAAATATTATAACTTTATGTTTTAATATTTTTATGTATTATGAGTTGTAGATATAAGCTTTACGCATTATAAATAGAAAATTAAAAATAATGAAATAATGAACTTTAAAAAAATTTACGCAGAAAACTTTATAGTTTTCTTTGTGTTATATTTTTTAAAATTAACTGCCGTTTTTAAAATGATTGCATTTCAAAAAAACAAAAAAAAAACAAAAAAAAAATGAGTTTATAGGGTTTTTAATGACACCTATTTAAAAAAAATTTTTTTTAACTTTTCAAGCTAAAATTTTTTAAGTCAAACGAAAATATATATGTATATGTTTATATAAAATTGAAAGAAAAAAAAATTGTAATAATAATATTTCAGAAAACGATTTATACACTAACAAAGTAAAAATAATATTTAACAGCATAAGTGATTTAGTACATTTTAAATGTATAAAAACAAATATAATAAAACAAATAACATTCCTTTTATAATAACTAAACAAAAAAAAAAAAAGACGATAAAAGCAATAAAAGACAAAATATTTTTATAACGTATACTATTTAATTATACATATTAAAATATATACTCAGCGGATATTTAAAAACGAAAAGCTTTTTTCAATATTCTATTCTTAAGTGTAAAAAATTATATATATAAATATAAAAGACATTAAAGTATATATATATATACTTATTAGTTAAAGTTTTTAAGTCAAATATATTAAAATTAGGCAGCAAAATAAATGCAGAGAAAAGTCATACACACAAAACTTTAGTCGTTTATTGTATAAATTTTATACTAAAAGTTGCAAAATAAACTTTGCTTGACTCTTTCAGAAAACCTAAATCAATAAACCTAAACCTCACAATTTTATATCAATACTTTTCCGGAGATTACGTGTAAAAACCAAATATAATTAATTCCTTAACAAACAAAAAAAATCGTATGGGAGTGTTGGTGTGTGTCCCTTTGTAGTATTAACAGAGATGCAGGGTTTTAAATAAATATCAGTCCAAAATCTTTAATATTTCCAAAATAGTTTTTAATACGTCTTTGGACTAAAATATATACGCACATTAACGCGGTTCAAAATAACCTTGTTTGAAAAAATGTCTGTTATTTTTTCAGAAAACCTTTAAACCTTGTTTAAAAAAGTCCAAAAAAAATTTTTTATTCATTGAATTTAAATTTATTTTTATTTTGTGTACAGTTTTTTATTAAATAATAATTCATAATTTAAAACTGGATATATAAATTAAATGATTTATGTTTAATGTTTTATAATAAATTATTTTTTTATTAGACTTTTTTAAGGTTCTTAGTTTCTCGATTAATATGGCCGCTCTCCTACCATATGATTTTTTTTCCCTTTCATTAAGGATTTCATTCCTGAATATAGGAATGAAATATACTATATAGAAAATTATTATGTGGGAAATGCTATGCTTCACGATTCACACCAGTGGTCTATTGTGCTAGCTCCTATATAGATAAATAAGTTAATAGTGCATAATACTAGAGAGATTATAAAGCTTAATAGAACTTAATTGTTTCATGTTCACTTTCTTATAATAATATCTTACTTACTTGAAGGCTTTTTGAAAATTCATTTATATACATTTATATTTGTATTGTTATTTGCTATATAAAAATTGCTAACATTTGGAAGTTGTTTGTTACAATCTCTTGAAGCGTTGTCAGTTTTCATATAGTAATGTACTTTATAAAATAATACTATAATTATATTTTAAAAACTTTTTTTTTTGCAAATATTGTAAAATATTTCAAAAAATTATAAATTCACTTATTTTACCTGGACTTAATAAATAATATTTTTGCAATACCAGTTTCAATATATCACCAATATTATATCTTTTAAGGTTTATGCTACATAATAATCGTGGTGTTATGTACAGTGAAAGTACAACTTAAGTTATAAATTTATTTTGGAAAAGTTTTGTCTGAGTTTATTTTGCAATGGATTGATTGTGTTACAACAAATTACCTCAATTTCAATTAAACAAAAAACATTTCGTTAGGTGTGTTAAGTTCAAGCATTCCGATAATTACTTCCAGAGTAAACATATAAACAAGCAAAAGTGCCTTTAAAATATATATAAACTTATTTATATTAATGAAAACTTTTATAGCTGTAAGTTTATATTTTTTTTAATAAATTAAGTTATATATCGTTTTTTTTAACAAACTTTCGAAAAGTTAAATTTTGTTTCTAAACATCGCAACAAGCCATATTATTTCAAGGAATATGTATATTTATCGTAGTTTTGTATGAAGTTTAAATTGTAAAATACAATAATTTATTACATTCTAAATATATTAGGGAAAACTCAGGTACTTATTTAAACGTTTTTATTGTTATATTTAAGTCAGTCACATTATAAGCAAGCAGGAATGCAACCGCGACAGTAAAGAAGAAAAATTGGAGGCTGTGCTTCCTTCCACTATTATTCCAGTACTCAGTTAACTTTAAATTCAAATACCAGAAAATGAAAACGTCACATATAATTTTAGTTTTATGTATATTTTTTATTAAAAATATTTATTTATATTATACTACTACTATAATTTATTGAAAATAGCAGACTTTAATGATGCATCAATTTCTATACTTAATATGTATATCAGGTGAGGATATTTCTATAGTGAACATTCCACATTATTTAGTTTTTTTTTATAACAACAGTAATAACACTTACTATTATATTATAAGTTAAATCTATTATAATCGTCAAATCTCGAATGAATACAATACAAAATATAACTAACAAATTACAAACATTTTTAATTAAATTAATTTTATAAAATTAAATTAGGTACATTTGAGGACACTTATGATGTACGTTTTTCAAAATTTAAAATAGAAGAAACAATGAATTTTTATAGCGGGCAAAACTCGCTCTAAGCAAATATGTGAAATTGAAAACTGTCAAGTTTAAATTAAATTATCGATAAGTAATAATTTCTCTTTATATAAACATTGGTTACCAATTGGTGTTGGGCAAAAAGCAAAATGCAAAAATTAAAAAATCAACAAAAAATTCAATACAAAATTAATTAAAAATTAATAAAAAAAATGTAAGCCAAAATTGTTATTATCAATTGAAAAAAATAATAAAAACGAATTAAAGTTTTAATGGTTTTAATTGATCATAAATTATATACACTTATTGATAATATTGTGTTAATAAAATATCATTCATTTTTATTTTAAATAAATTACAAAATTGTATATTTAAATTTATATATTTAAGTGATAAAAATTTTTATTGCAAAGCAAATGTTATTTTATAAAATGATCATTTTTTACAGAAACCTTAAAAATAAATGGAAATACTCATATAATAGTTTAAAATAAAATAAATATATTTTTTTAAGTTTTATTTTTTATTACTTTATAACAGAAAATTTTCGAAACTTTGTATAGATTAATAAAATGTATTGCGTAATATCAATAAAAATAAAGTTTTTTCTTGTATATAATATTAAAAAAAAAATTGTTTCTCTTAACATATAAGTAAACTGTGATAAAATGTTTTTAATTAAAATTTTAATTTAATTTTTTTCCGATAGATTAGTTTTTTTTGGATTTTTTGTTTTTATGTAAGTATTACCTAAGTCACTTTATTTGTTATTATTATTAATGTTACTTAACGGATCTAAAATAATATTGCCAATAAAGTATATTTCTAAAAGTTATTTAATTACATACACGAAATATTTGAATATTATTATTAACGCATATATACATACTACTATAACAGATGTTATGTATAGATGCTTATTATATATACAGCTCAAATATTTCTGTTATACTTTACTAACCAATTATGCTAATTTTATCTTTTCAGATGTTGCCAACGACGACCAGGAAACTATTAATCTTACTGATGATTCTAGTGCAATAAATAATTCTAAAAAATCAAATGCAACAAAACAAAGTACGTTGTCCATGGGTCATGATGCTTCAACAACATCTGTTAATCAAAATGAGTCACGTATACGTGTCAGAAATTGGTTGATGATGGCAGATCAATCGATTTTAGAAAAGTCAATTCAGGATACCGTTGGTTCAGGTAATTTTTGTTTTTGCCAAATATTTTTACTATTTCAAAAAATATATTTTTTTAATATTATTTTCATATATTTATTTTTTTAATTTTCTATTTATATGTTATATATTTTTTTAGCGTTTTATATTATAAAACAAATTTTTATAGAATATCAATTAATATGATTTCTTAATATTATTTTCATATTTTTTTTTTACATTTTAATATTCACATATTACAAGATATGTAACATTTTACAAAATACATAATATGTTTTTTATTTCGATTTTAATATAATGTCTTAACATTAATTTTATGTATCTTTGAAATATTACTATTCATAAAAACATACATATTATTTTTGTAGCAATCAACATAGAAAGAAAGACTTATTATTTTTATTTAAAATAAATAAATAACTTATTTATTTTATTTCACTTAATATAATTTCTTAATATTAATTTTATATCATTTAAATTTTACTATACATGTGTCACAAATTATTTTATTATCACAATTAATCATGTTTATTTCAATTAAATATATATTGTCTTGATATTATTTCAAATTTTACTTTTCATATGTTCCATATATTTTTTTGAAATTTATATAATATTTCATATATCTCACACACATTATGCTTAAAATTTCATATTTTATTTTAAGTTTATATCATATTCAGGTTTTAGGAACAGTAATCATTAAATGCCCAATATTAAACACTAGTGACATTTAAAACTCAAATAAATGTCACTTTATTGTCAAATCGACACGTAAATATTTATTGTAAAATAGGCCCTTCCATTATTAAACTTAAAAAAATCTTCCATATAGATTTAATAAGGAATTATTTATTTATTTCTTCAAAGATATCAAAATGTGACTTTATAGATAAATGTCAAGAAGATATTGAATAAATCTCACTTTATAAAATATTAATAAAAACATTCATTCAATTTTGTGAAACTTCACACTTATAACGAATTTGAACAATATAAAATATTGTTAATTTATGAACACTTTGTCTAAAAAATAATCCTGCTTTCATGGAATAATAAATCTTAACTTTTATACATAACCTGAGTTCCCATGCTTCACGATGAGATAATGTCAAATAAGTAAATATATAATCAGTGACATTTTGTCTGCCATTTAATGTTACATTCGCCTTCTTGTAACAAGAAGTACCTAAGCAAAAAGGGAGCTAAAGAACATCCTAGACAACATTAACTTTTTTTATTTCAGATAAAATTCTTACTATTGGAGCATGTATTTAAATCATGCGTTAAAAAAACAAGGGTAAAAAATATTATTTTATTATTTTCTTATGTTTTCTATTTTATCTTTTTTTATCTAAAACTATATATATTCTACTGTATCTTTACTATACTAATTAATATCTATACTATAAATTTCTGTAAAAATAACTATAAATGGTTCATTTTGTAGAAGTATTTTAATTAGAACTACTAAACTTAAAACTTATCTTTAACTTTATTCTTTTCTTAAGTATACTTACTTTAACTATTCATAACTTATTTAGTTTTTACTATATAATGTACTATTTATATCTACCTTAGAATCACCTTAGAATGAAATGTGTAAATAATAGTTTCATTAATAAAAACGTAGCTCCATTACGGATACTTAAGTAATTGTTGTAATTTGTTGATATAACCTTATTGTCATATAATCCTGTGGTATACGTACTTCATCAGAAACTTTTAAATTTAATTTAAAATAATTAGTAATGATTTTTGCAAAAATAACAGATTAAATGGGTTGTTCTCTTTAATGAATAACAATAGCATAAGAGAATTTTTGTGAAAGTAGAAATCGCTTATCGCAACCACAGTGATAAGAATAATTTTAGTTTTTAATAATTAGTGCATGAATTTTAAAAAAAATTTTTAATGCTTCTAAATCTGTTTCTAAATATGAATATAATTATCACATCCTTATAAGGAAAGTATTTGCATATATGAATAAATTCATATTTCATAATTTCATTGATCTTTCATTATTTGCTGCTACATTACTTTAAAATTGATCATCTTAAAAAATTCATTTGTTATCTCATTTCTTATTTTAAAGACATATTAAATCTGGGTATTCAAATTTTGTTTTCTTTAATAAATTTATTTTATACATTTCTTTCATATATTTATTTGATTAATTTTTCTATTTTACAGTTATGTTTCTTTCGTTACGACTTCGTTTTCTTCCAGGATTACATATCCTATTTTATCAAAAGTTTTTATTTCCTTTAAAATTATTGAATTTTTCAAATAATTATGAATCTATCTACAATTATTATCCAAAACTAACATTAATATTTATTTCCCTATTTCTCTTTTCACGCTTCCAATAACCTAAATAAAATAACATTTTTTCAAAATTTTACCATCAATAATAAATTTCAAATAATAAAAACTAAAAACTAACTATAGATAAGCTTACAACTAGTAATGCAATAACTAACGTACCCACTAACAAAACATTACCCGTCTCATCAAGTAATTCAATAAATTCAAGCACCATCAACAGCACCTCTGGATTACCAGTTATTGATCCCAATACCCAAACAATGACACGTATTGGAAGTATTGGTCGTACTACGATTGCTTGCATTACCCCAGCCGGAGTAGGTACACAAGGTGGTGCACATCCTTTAAAAAATGGTATTGGGGTCTCAGCTGCAGCATTAGCTGCTGCGGGTGTTGAGCTTGATCCAATCGATGAATCAATGACGGAAGTAATTGTGAAAATTGAAAATTCAAATTGTTCTGTTAATGATGAAGAAGATGAAGAAGAGCATACTGAAGATGAAAATGAAGATAACGATTATACTTATGATCTTAAATTATCTAGTCCAATGTCTTGGGCTTTTGATACTGTTAAAGTCGAAAATGAGGAATTTGAGGATATAATGTTAACTGAACAGGATAATAATACCGAAGATGATGATGATTTATTAACCACAGCTGCCGCAACAACAAAACAAGCGGCTGAAACTTCAATGGTTGAAACTAGAGATTCACGTAAACGATGTGGTACAAATAACGTTTTGGCTAGCAATCGCTCAAAAAAACGTAGTCTAAGCAATCATCAACAAAATCAAGTAGTGCAACAACAGCAACAACAACAACTCTTAGAACAACAACAGCATTTGCAACATTTACAATTGCAACCAAATCCCCATAGCCTTCAAATAAAATTGTCCACAATTCCAGCTACCATAACATCAATTACTCCGAAACCTTCCACGAGCACCATCCTCACGAGTACCACTAATAATGCGCACACAAGTACAAAAATGGCAGATTTTCAATCAGTAGTATCCGACGATAAACGCTACCGCATATTAATTCAAAATCAACGTACTCGAAAAGAGTCATTAGAACACTCCGAAGATATGATTTACAATTCAGATATTGAAAAACCATGGGTTTGCCGCAACTGTAATCGTAATTACAAATGGAAAAATAGTCTGAAATGCCATCTGAAGAATGAGTGCGGGCAACCGCCACGCTACTTCTGCAGCAAATTATGTGGGTATGCGACAAATGTCCACAGCAATCTTAAACGTCATTTGAATACAAAATGTCGGGATCGAATTGATGAAGACCAAAAGTCCACAAATAACAATAGCAACAATACGTATACCGTGGTTATGCAAAAAAATGAATAAAATAATAAGATTAATAACAATTATCCATAAATGCAAAGACTAGAAAAAATTTGTGTAAAAATACTATATATGCTTATACTAAGATATTAATTAGATCTCTTAAGTGTTTATCAAGGATCTAAAAGCTTTGGTAGTAAGTAAATTATATTTTAACTTGGACTATTGCTTTTTTAACACAATTTATTTATTAAATCTATATATATTGAAAAGAATTTCAGTTGATTCTGTGCAATGTGTCAGCAATGTTTCCTATGTTGTATTGATTATTTATTTATTTAAAAATACAAGTTTTTGAATATATTAGAATTGTGTAAAATTTTATTTTACTCTCGAATGCTTTAATATACCATTTTGTTTTTTTTTCTCTTACTTACATTAAATATTTATTTACTAGTCAAAACGTCTTTATGTTATTATTATTACTCTTTGCTTTTCTGTTGAGTGTAAGCTGTGTTTTATATTTATTTTATTTGATTATTTTTAAAATAAATCTTATTTAAAATAAATATATATCGAAATTTAAGATTACACATTTTTGTAACAGTTAAAAGTAATTTTAAGCTTTTTAGAATAATCTTTGCAATTGTATCTAGTCATTTTTCTTAGTTTAAAATGAAAATATATATATAATTTTAAAATGAATACAAAAAACTAACAAAAATTAAAAAAAAATTCATTCTAGTCAAATGTTTCACAGAAAATATATGAAAGTAATTTATATATATATATTATTTCAATAAAAAAAATTGAAATTATAATTTTAGCTTAATGTTAATATTCATATTCTGATTTTAATGAAAAACAAAAAATTGATGAAATGTTAATTTAATTTTAATTAATAATAAAAAAGTAAAAAAATGCAATATATATTTGCGTTTCAATAAAAATATTTGTATGAAATTTCACAAATTGTATAAAATACATTTAACATAATAAGAAACAATAGTTATAAATTCATATACAAAACAGTTTAATAATTTTAGAAATATAGTTCAAAAATATAATTCGAGCTGCATTTTAAAAAATAAAATAATTTACTTTAAATCTTTATGAAAATTAGTTTAAAATTTTAATTTGCAATCATGTATAATACAAAAACAAAAACAAAAAAAAAACAATTGTATAATAAATTATATTAGTATCGTTTTTATTGATATTTATACGAACATTATATCACTTCATAAACTAAATTGAACCTTCACATACACATATTTATATATATTTATATATAGTTATGTATATATATATTTATATATATATGTATGCATATATATATGTAAATATCTTCTTCATATTTGAAAATAAATAAAAAAAAAATACGATGAAAAATAAAATAAAACAAGTACTTTTTTTCTTCAGAGTTTTGCAACTTGGTATAATAACTAGTTTATAATAGTTAATTATACCTAAAACCTTGTCATAACAATTGATCATTGAAACATCTGTAGCCCTTCCTCCGTCATATTTCCTTCTTATTTCATAACATTTTCGATTCCTTCCGTTTGTGTTTCACAAATAATTGATTTGTTCTTGAAGAATTATTTTTACTAACAATTTCTCTCTTTCAGGTGCTGGCTTACGTGTTTGTTGAAATGTCCTCGCCAATAAACGTCGTAGTAATCAAGTAAAATAACTATAAATCGTGTCGACTCTTTAACAGCAGTTAACCACCTCTTCAATATTACTTTTATAATTATATTTAGATTTTATTTTTACTTTTTTTTTATTTGGAAACTCGTGCCTACATTGCATGTTATAATATTTGTTAAACTTTTAATGAATCCTTAAAATGTAGGAAATGATATTTTGTCTTGTGAAAAATATTATATTATTTATATTTGCTGTAAACCAAGAATTAAGTTTTCTTAAAGAAAATAGCATGTAAACTGTGTTTTATTATATTAACTATTAGTTTCTTTAATGTAATTATTTTGTAGTTATTATATAGGGTGGCTGGCGTGATTTTCTATTTTTCTATTAATAAGACAAATAGCCACTGTAGTGAGCTTTCTTTAATCATAACTGTACCTATTATGATATACAAATATAGTTTTTTAAATTATTAGTATGATTATTATATATATTGTTAAATACATAATTTTGGTTTACAATGCAATTGGCTGTATAAAGCCGTGTTGTTTTTTATTTTTTTTTAATTTTATCTTATATATGTTGCATTTTAGACATTAATTTAGCAATAAACTATTAAAATATTTAAATTTAGTTTTACTTATAGGTATAATTTTATTGAAATATATGTATATATATAGTTATATGTATTTTTTTCTGTTATAAATAATTGAATTTCTTTAAAAATTACCATTTTTTAGTATTAATAAACAGAAAAAATATCTAAAGTATTGTGAAAATTGGTACTAATTTGCATGCGTATTTTTCTACTAAATAATTAAAAGTGTTAGCGTATTGTATTAAAAATTCTAAACATATCTTTTTTACAACAAAACAATAAATATGTTCATTTTTATGGAACAACTCTCTGATCTCTTATTTACGTTTTAATATGAACACATTTGTTTATATATTTTAAAACTTTTTAGTCCTTAATATAAACATTTATATATATATATCAATATGTATATATATTGATATGCAAATGTTCAGTTTCTCTTTATTGCACATATAAAATTTTAAAATATTATGATTCACAACTGACAATTTACTTTAATTTATAAATTATTTATTTAATTTTACACGATTATTTTTTTTAGATAAGTTTATAAATTTTATTAAAATAGAAAAACTGTTTTATATATATTTTTTATATTTCTTAGACTCATTGTCAACAGTAAGGAGTTATTTTACTAACAATTTTTTGAATTACCAACATTTGTCACTAACAAACTGAAAAATGCTCCAGTTTATTTAAAAATTAAAAAATAATATACGATATTTTACTAAAAATAAAAACATAACTGTTTATCAATACATATCGAAGTTTTTACAGCTTTTCTTACATATAAATTTATATAAAGCAGAAATAAATAAACATTTACACTTATCAACATACGTACACAAATATATACACATACATACTTCCATGCACACAAGCTGTTTCATCTCCTAAAAATTTAATATAAAAGCTAATCATCATACTCACCATAGAATCCTGATTTCCAAATTGATTTCGAAAAAATGGTAATATACTTTAAACATTATTATTTGACTTTGTTTTTAACTTCCATCTATTTATAAATGTTTAACTGTTTTTAAATTTTTATTTAATATTTGCAAAATATTAATTCTCATCTCATTAATGTTTTTGTATAAAATATGTTATTTTAAATTTAAACAATTTGTGTTGTCTATAAATAATATAAAATCAATAATAATTCAATTTAATATCTAAAATTAAAATAATAAACTTATAATATATATATATATATATATTTTTTTTTTTAATAAATGATTAATCCATCCTTTTTTCTTTGGTATATTTCATAAGCAGGGGGTGGAAATACCACACCCACAATTTCGACACATCATCAACATGATAAGTTGCATTTGAAAACGAGTCCATGTACTAGTCCGAATACGTCCACGCCAACACCTACTGGCAGTGGAAGCGTTATTAAATATGAACCAAGCGCAATCGATGATACTGAAAATGAGCATTGCCTTACGCCTGGTGTTTCAAGTGGTCACATTGGTACCAGCATTTCCGTTGCACGAAATACTGATGATGAAGAAGAAGATGATAATAATAATGACAATGAACAGCCTTGTGATTTGCGTCTAACACATTTTAAGTATGATTTGGTATCTAGAGTATTGCAGCAAGCTACGGAATACAATGATCCAAATGTTGCCGCACTAGCTGCTCTTATAAGAGCTCCCGTCGCAGGACCCTCAGGTATGCCCAACCCACAACAATCGTCCAATTTGCAGCATTCTGCTTTGCAAACCACTTCCCACCACCTACAACATCCCCATCAAACCCAACCACAATTACTATTAAATTTTCCACAACTATCAACGTCGCATGTGTCTCATCCAAGATCAATGACGCCTCCGCGACGCTATAGTAGTAGTTCTGGCGTTGTTTCTCCAGTTGTTGCATTGCCTCCAAGTGCAGGCGTTGTTACTTCGCCAGGTGGAAGTACCAGCATAGCAGCTGTTGGCAGCTCTAATTTAACTACTGGACCGTCTACCTCAGCGGCAGCAGCAGCAGCAGCAGCAGCTTCAGTGAATACGGCTGCTGGCAGTAACGTTTCGAGTGGTAATAATACTGGAGGTGGTGCTGGTCCTTCTTGGAGTGGCGCGTATACATGTGAACGTTGTGGTAATTCATATGCACGCCCACATAGCCTCAATAGACACATGCGATTCGAGTGTGGTGTTGAACCAAAATTTGAGTGCCCAATTTGTCACAAAAAGTCAAAACATAAACATAATCTTGTATTGCATATGCGTACCCATCAAAATCGATGATATAATCGACAATAACAACAATGTTGTCGGGTGTTATTAGCGCCCGTTTTAGCAACACCTTTATCAACAACAACTACAACAATAGCAACAACAACAGCTACTGCATCTGATGTACTGCCAACAATTTTCGACTATTGTAAATGCGTTCATGCGATGGCAAAAAGTAACAAGGGTGCCGTTGACAATACTTTTAACACTTCCAATACGTCCAGTGCTGCTGTTGTTGTTGTTTGTCGGTGTTCGCTTTGAACAATCACTTAAATATTGTGCACGAATGTGATCAACATGTTCTGATTTTTATTTTATTTAATAATTTTATTTTCTTTAACCTTTTGTTGTACATTTGTTTTTGTTCTTATATTTTCTTTTACACTAATTTTACAAATGATCTTTGAAAAATAGTCTTTTTACATCTAAATATAGTCTTATTATTTAGTTTTATATAAAAATTTAGTATACACTTAATATAAATAATATGTGTAAATTACATATAAGACTATTTACTGAAAAGCTTTTATAATATTAAATGCAATTTTTGTGACAATTGGGACACAGTTTTTAGTTGCGATATTTTGTAATATTTTTAAAGTTTAATTAACAAGAACTTGAGCTTAAGTTGAACTGAGCGCGTATATTGATCTCAAACTAATTATTTTCAAATGAAGGCATTTTATATAAAAAATTTAGATAAAATATATTAAATAGGAATGTTGTTATTCTTTAAAAAAAAAAATTTAAAAATTTTGCAAAAATATTGTTCAGTAAAAAAAACTGCGCTCAACTTTAACATGGCTCAAAGAGAAAGAGAAGAAAGAAGAAAGAAGTTGGTGACGCACAAAACTCGAATTACATACATGTCTCCAAAGCAGTAGCAGATTAAGTATGTGGTAATATCTAATGCAAGCACTATTATCCTTTTGGTAAATTTATGTTTGAACACGAAAGGATTATATAGAGTTTGTTTTATTGTGAAAAATATGTGAGAGTGTGTGTGTTGCAAAGTGGCAGAAGCGAACTTTTAATATCAGTTAATAAAGTAAATATATTTAGTCAGAACTCAAGTCAGCTTAATGAGCGTTTAGTCTTAGTTATAGTATACAAAAAAAAAAAGAGTAAGAATGTAATTAGCAATTAGCGTGTGAGTTCTTGTGCAATATTCAATTTATTATAATTATTTATTTATTTTTTATATTACATTGAATATTTATGAACAACTTTTGTAATATTGTAATTGTAGGAAAATTGAATTTAATTTCGTTTAAAACGAATTAAAAGAAGATGGAAAGGTTATATTAGCAAAACGATATAGAAAAGAATATGTATGAAATACTAATGTGATTTAACGTTTGAAAAACGAAACAACAAAATAAAACAAAAATAACAAATTCAAAAAATATCTAAATATAAAATGAAATATCTAAATATACATATATATATATATATGTACATATATATGTATGTATGTATATATAATGAATAATGAATCCATTATAAGTGGCATAACACTAACAAAAGGTGCCGAAAGATTAACAAATTTTAAACGCAACAAATTGTGATAAAATTAACTATTATTATTAAAACAATTTTAAAGGAAATTTTTTAAAGTGAGCATCATAAATATAAAGTAGTATTTGTTTAACTTATCGAACTATTTCTTTTGCTTATTTGGTAAATAAGATATAAACTTTACAAACAATGGTAATCAGCCAGTAGGTTTATGCTTTATATTTTGGGTCCTACGCGAAATGTATACAGAGACGGGAATGTATGGCTTAAGTACATGAATTAAACATATAATGAATATTTATTACTAAATATTTCATTCCACAAAATTCTTTTTCTATATTCTTTGTATGAGTTCATCAATACATCCTATATTGTATATATAATGACAATTTCTATATTTAATATTAAATAGTTCGCAATAATAATATATTGCAATTTTTTATGATTACTTAATATATCTTGTAATGTATATACATTTATATAATTCACATTTACATAACAATAGTTTTTGATTACAATATGTAGTAATTTTGTATTATACAATAAAAATTTTTTATTTTAAATAATAAATAAATATTCTAATAGACCAGCAGCTGAGTTGGTCTTGCCTTTGCTGTGCTGTTGTACTCTGTAATTAATTGCTTAGTAAGTCTCACAATAAAAGAAATTCTAGTAATAATAATATTTTATATAAAGTGTCTATCTAAAATTTCTCATTTATATATTCCATTTTCGACATGTTCTGCTATTTGTTTCTATTGGTTTCGAGGCAAAGCCATCCCAATATATTTTCCAAAATAGGATGTTTGTTCTGACCAAACCCAAAAATATACTATTAATATAAAATTTTAATATAAATATTGCACTATTTTGCAATATTATATTTATAAACAGTTAAGTAGCAAAAGGTTATACATTGTTAAATTTTATGTGAAATTAAAATTATATATATATTATAATATAATATATATTTTTGTAAAGTTTGAATATTTTATTGAAATATGCCCTTAATATTACAAAATTTGTTAACAAACTTAAAACCTGTGACTTCATATTTGTAAATTCAATAGTTATTATTCAACACTAAAATAAGCCTAGATTGCTTTTAGCTTAGATATAGTGCTTTTAATTTTTTTTTTCGCTTATCGGTGCTGTTAGCTGACACTTTAACTATTGTTTAGTTTAATGTATATATTTTTGGGCAATTTTTAAGCACTGAATGCATGCATGTGTCAAGTGTAGAGATTTACTTCGTAATTTATTTAACTTTTCCAATATATGACTTAATTAATGTTAAGAATTTTCCCGTTTTAAATGTCTTATAAAGCATATACTACTGGCAAATCAAATTTAGTTTAGGTAATATATACAGTAAATGTTTATATAGCAAAAGTTGTTTGTAGTTTGCGTTTGTTTGTTTAAAATGTTTCAGCCCTTTTTATTGATCTTTAGTAGTAGTAGTTAAAATTCGGGGATAGTCTTACTAAAGTTACGCACATAACAATTTACTTTTGTTGTTACGCTTTTTATGTTTCAACAAAATTAAAAGCACGAATATTATTCTAATCTATTTTAGCAAAAGTAATTATTTATTATTAAAAATAATTGTTACCCTTTAACGATCTCCTAATTATTTAAGTAATTATCGTACGATGAAGTAAAACAAAAACAAAAAAAAGGAAAAAGTGCGAAATTTAACTTTAAATTGATTCGATATGAGTTTATAAAATTTTAAAATCTTTCATTCCATTATTTTTGTTGTGTACTTGAGATTTAAAAAATTCTAATTTATTATTATTAAATTTATTTCAAGTCCGAGACATGACGAAGAAATTTTTTTATTATAGAAAAAAGGTGTAAATAGAAATGAATTACAACAACAAAATTTATTTTTTCTTTTTAAATTAATTGACGATTTCCGTTGACCATAGAGTTGTTTCTTTGGGTATTACCAAGTATCTTTTATAATTACTTCAAAAGATTAGATTTTTGGTCATCAAAAAAAATGTAATTAATTTGAATTTATGCTATTGTAATTTGTACTATTCACCTTCTATTCTTTTTTATTAGTTTGTACTAAACCGTGTTGGTAAATATAATAAAATTAAATCTAAAGTAATTAAAATGCAAATTAATTGGTATCGGTTACAACATATAAATTTGATTATAGCTTTATGCATTTTTATATGGAAGAACTAGAGAAATTTTAACAATATATCTTAAAGACAATTTGAATGAAAATTCTTGGTGAACCCAAAATGTGAACATGTTAAGCTACATGAACATTGTTGCTATTAAAAAAAGTCATGTTCACGATTTTGAGTAACTTACTCCCCTCTTCTATTAAGTAATAGGGGGCATAATAGTTGTCAATTTGCGCTTTTATACCTCTGTTACTTTGTTAACGAGAGCTGGTTACTCAAGGTTGTTAATAATACTAATGATTTGTTTAAACTATTATCGAAATTTTAATTAAAATCAGAATAGTAATACAACGAAAAATTTTCAAAACGAAATTTTCACACTCTTTGTCTTCAAATGAATACTTTAGATATTAAACTAAATTTAAATTAACCAATTAATAACTAATGATGAATAACTAATATAAAATATTAATAATGAAGTTAATAATGAATAAAGAATTAAAATCGAAATAAAATATATGAATGTTATATATAAAAATAATATCAAAATAATTGATAGAAAGATCTAACAAGTTGATTGATTGTAATGAAATGTCAAAATTATGAAATGTTGTTGGATAAATAAATAAAATTTATTTATTAGAATTCGAATTGAAACGAAATTATGGAGACCTTTTCATGAAAAATTTAGCTATTTGATAATTATTAAAATTTTATACATTAAAAACTGAACTATTTAATATTGAAGATTTTATAAATGTACTAAAATTGAATACTTGCATAAAAGAGAAAATAGTTTGAGAGGTATAGGTTAGTTAGAATATTAACAGTGGTCTGTGAGAAGGAAACATAAGAGAAAGAGCACACTCGCACATAGTCATCAATATAAAACTATAATATAAAATAAATAAATATATATATATATATATATATATGTATATATATATATGTATATAATTGGAATGTGATATAACAAATATAGTCCTTTTTTATAATTGTAAATGTAATTATAAAAAACTTTAACAAAGCATAATATTATTAAACTAATTTTAATTAAATTAGTAAGTTTTTTTATATTTTCTTATAATGTTATATATAACGAAATGTATTTATCCACATTTTACTTATGAATTACAAAGAATATTTATAAAACTTTAATGATGTACCGTATTGCCTATAACAATATAATATTTATCTATAAATTATATATAATATATATTCTTTTTAGCTTTCTTGTGTAAATATTAATTACAATTTAATTCAATATAAATTTTGGCTTTATTGTGCCCAAGTCAATTGTGATAAAAAAAAAATAATCTTGGCGCAAATGTCTAAATTATTATCAAATATATAATTTTTGTTATATCGCAGATTTTATTTAAAAGTTGTCTATAATTTAAATTTTACTAAAATCATATTATTACTACATGTGTAAAATTCGCTTAGCAATTGAATTCAATTAAAACTGAAAAAAACTTATAACTGAGAAAAAATTGACAATTGTACCTTCGAGAGGAATTCCTATATGGTGATACGAATATTTATTTTGATTGATAGAAAATTATAACAATTACTATTACAATTACAATTACTCGTGAATGAAAAGTTTTTTTTTAACCTGAAACTTTTATTAACTAAAATCGGTTAAATTAGCAACATAAAAAATATTTTGGTCAGTATTCGGAAACAAGATAATTCTATAAATCATAAATTTTTAATGATTTTTTATTTTTGCTATTATTATTTTTGTTACTAACTTTAAAAATTAATAATTAAATAATTATACAAAATTTAATGGAATAAAATTATTTATAAGAATTTTATATTTTATTTTTATTTTTGAAGTCACTAGTCAATAGTTGCAAATAATAATTTTAAAATTTCTATATGATTTTAATATAGTTTTATAAATTGTTTAATTAATATAAGTTTTTGTTATTTAATTATGCATATAAAAAGAAATTATTTCTTTGTAAGGTTGTGGTTATTTTTATAATTACTTTATTGCATTAAATTTATGCTTAAACATAGATCTTAATCCAAGTTTTTTTATTAACTCTTAACTTGTTTAGAAGTCGATTTCAATTAAAATTAAATTTGAACATAAATATAAATAAAAATAAAAATATAAATATAAAACATAATGACTAATTTAAATTAATATTTATTAATAAAAAATAAAATAAAATAGGCGCTACTCACAAAAGTGAAAGAAGAAGAAAAGTTTACAATAAAAAAATAAACTTTTTAATATTTTTTTTATTGAGTTTACAATTTTTATTAATGATTATTGCACTTACACTTTAACACAAAAGATAACATATTTCTTCGATTTAGTTATTTAATGTTATATATTTATATTATATACTTTGTAATCTTGCGAACTATAAATATGTAATACTAGTAGTAACATTACACCATTTAAAACAGAAAACAAGAAAAAAAAATAGTTTGAAAAATAAATAGTAGTAATAATATAATTATTACTATTTTATATATATTTAGTTGAAATAAAGTTACAGTGTATATGTTATCTTATTAAAATATATGAAAAGCATTATTGTATTTTACAAATTATTTTGATATAAATTTTGAATAGTGTAATATTTAAATTAAAATAAATAAATAAAAAGAAAATTAAATGTTGAATAATATATATTAGTCTTTGTTAACAAAAGAGCTGTGAAAAAATTTAATTTAAAAATAATGCATAGTAAATAAAATAAATGTGATCCGTTTGTGATTATTATAAAAAATTAAACTAACATTGCATTTTTTTAAACTATGATTTTCACATTAAATTTTTTTATTTTGTTAAGTATTGTTTAAATTTAAAAAAAATGTACAATTTATCTAGCTCTTAAATTCAATTGATAAGTTTAAAAATGTTTAACATGCTTAAATTTAATAATATTTAATAATATGCGTTTTGATTTTTTTATGTAACGAAATAATATACAATATTATAATACAGGAATTTAGAGCAATCACATTTAAAATTATTCAAAAAGTGCAAACAAAACATTTTATCTATTGAACTGTTGTAAAAATTAGAGCACATATATTAGATATAAGCGCTTGTGAATAATATAAAAATGTTACATTTAATTAAAAATATTAACAAATTGAATTGTCATCATGATAGCTTTTTGTTATTACATATAAGGCACCAGTCACACACAAACGCCGAAAATTTATAATACAAATTTAAAATAAAGAATAAATAAAAATAGAAAGATATTTTATATTTTTATAAGTTTTATGCTTTAAATAACAAAAATAAAAAATAATGAAATTTGTGAAATAAACACATTTAACTAATGAAAAGTTTAAATTTTAGCTTGAAGCATACATTTAGGAAACCACAATATATAATTTAAATTTTTTCTATTTTTATGCGCCACAAATAAAAAATAGTTTTTTAATTGAATAATTAATTGAATGTATCTTTAAAAAAATGTAATATTTACACATTAAGTAAAAACAATTTATTATGCAAAACTAAATTATATTACGATGAAAAAGTAAAAAGCCTTAAAACTTGTCTAACATTTTATTTGAAATAAGACAAAGAAACAATATAAATCTTATTTTATTAATTAATTCCACGAAAATAAAATTAAAAGTAACTACTTACTTAATATGTATAAAAGAAAAATTGTAATGTTTTAAATAAATTGATATTTTGTTATAAGTTTCCAAAACTAAATTTTAAAAGAAAATATATATACCTAAAAAGTAAACGAACTAAAAATCATTTTTGTGTATTATTTCAAAGTAATTAAAAGGTCATCAAAATGATATAATCTATTAATATATTTTGTGATAAAAAGTTACACATATATATTTAATAAGAACTTTTATAAAAGGTACGTTAAAATAAATTATAGTTGAATTATTTAATGATTTTACTTTTTTTTTTTATTTTTAGAAACAACCCTAACTGATGACTTCAATTAATTCGTGATGATAATATATAAATGAAATAAAATTTTTAGGTATCACACAAACGATAAAAATTGTCAGTTGCCTTATTATTGCACACTGGGTATGATATTTTATAAATTTAACATTCAACATAGAAATTGTTCTATTGATAAAATATAACATATTGAAAAGTCTACTATATAATATAAAACTCAATGGTTAAATTAGAAATTAATTAAATAATTATTTTAAATATACATTAAATATTATTTTTTAACATAATATTTAGACTATCATCTATTTGAATAGGAATTTTTCAGACTTTTTTTTTAAACCATTTCTTCAAATCTGCTTAGATAAAAAGATATTAATTTGTATTTCAAATGATGACAATAATAAATCAGTCCCTTTTTCCATATACTATATATTAATATGTTAGAGTGTAAGGTACACCATTACGAAGACACTTTGAAGGTGCAAAAAGAATTTCACCTCCTCGCCAAAAAAAAAATTTTTTAAATAATAATAATGATGACATTAATTATAATAATGGTAATGAAAATCACAATAATCACAATAACAATAATAGTGACAATAAAATTATTAACATTAACAATATAAATAATAAATAATAATTTAATAATGATGACATTAAATACAAAAACTTAAACTGACATTAATTCATTAATTTTTGTTGTAACCCGCGAGGATATGTTTATGTAGCCCTATTGAGGGTGTCGACGAGTAACGTTGGGACGTAGATATATGACGTTCTTGGAACCTACATTAATCGTCGCATTCATCACAGCTAAACAAATTCTTATTCAAATTAATGTTATAGGGCATAAAAAATGGTAAATTAATTATAATACTGATAATTTTATATTCATTAAAAAAAATAAAGATAATAAAGTTAAAGCCAATCTCAAATGTTAAACAATAATTTAAATTAATCTGTCACTCGATTTAAAATATTCCAATAATTCCATAACGTTATATTTTCCTATAATTATTGTTAGCAGTAGTAGTAGCAATGATTTTATTATTTTTAATAATATTACAATTTATCACTGCAGTTGTGTTAAAATTGTGTTTTATTTTTCTTTAATATAATATTTAATAAATGATAATATTTTTCTAATATATTTCTTTCTCTTTCAGGCAATCAGTTGGAGTTATATTATCTGAAGTTCCATTTGATATACGAGGTAGAAACTTTTCTTTTCTTCCTTTTAATCTTGGATACATAAGAGATATGGATTTGTTAAATTACTAAATTACTGTTAAACGAAAATTTTGTTAATAAAATAAAATTCATTAAAAGTGTTATTGAATTTTTAGAATTTAGTTACCTGCAAATATCATATCATTGCAAGAATTTATTGTTTCTTATATAATTTAAAATTGTTATTAACATAAATTCTGTAGATGACTACAATGATTACATGAAATTGACTTAAAATAAACTTAACGTTCTTTATTATTCATAATTATTTACGTTTAATCTGTGACTAAAAGCATTCGAATGTAATTGAAAGATAGATTTTCATATATTTCATATAATCTATTTTCGCAGATTTATTAAATTTTTTATTAAATTAATGAGTAATTAATTACGAGTATACGTATATATTAATATTAATTAAAATAAGTCTTTAATTATTATTTATAGTGTTTCTTACATCTTTATTTTTATCCGTATAGTTTGTTTTTTATTGTAGATATTATAATTCTTCATCTCTAAATTGTAATATATTTTTAAATAATCGTTGCGTCTATTTAAAAACTATATGGAATATATTGGGAATTGTATAATTGAAAATTATTTTTAAGATGAGTTTTAAAAAATCGAATGTTTTCATTTTATTTTATTTAAGAAAAAAAAAAAAAAATAAACTAATGAGTTATAATGATAATACATTAAAAATGAAAATAAGTAAATAATACATAATAATATATAACATATATAATATATTGTTTGTTAATTGCATAAAAATGATAATTTCATTGTAATAAGTCTTATCAGTTTTATTATAATAAATATTGTTGATTTATAGAAAACTTTCAGATATATAAAAAAATCATCGGCATTATAGTCATTAAAGCACAACATCATTTAAATCCTTATATCACTGGAAAATATTACACACTCATGCGCATAAACACAAAATCAAATCGTTATCATTGGTAACAATAGTCCATAAGCATTTTCATATAAACATAAAATCGTTTATACAAAATAACATAAATGTGGGTAAATGTTTATAGACAATTATATGTATATTAATATATATATATATTAAATTTTTATTATTTGTTTTATTTTTAATATTTTTCTATTTTTTTTTACATTTTTTTCTTTTCTTTATTAATATTTATTTTTGACATGAACGTCACCATTATATTCAACAACGCTTTATCAATATACCCAAAAACATTTGTGATCAAAAATCATCCTACAATCAGATATTTATCCAATACTTGGTAGTCTACTGGGTGTTGATACAACAACGGCTATAAGTAGTGATCAGAATACAAACGATTTGTATTCCTTTCTGAATAATAATAGCAGCAATGTTTCGGGCATATTAGAACGTGAAAATTTTATGCAATGTAGACATTGCAATCGATTTTATAAATCCCATCAAAAATTACAGGAACATGTGCGAAAATATTGTCTCAAGCAAAAAAAATATAAATGCGTCTCTTGTGAATATCGTTCCCGACGTAAAGATCACGTGCTACGTCATGCCAAGCGCAAACATTGCGAACTATATGCTAATTCTAAAGAAGATGAGGAAAGTCTCTATGAAATACGCAATGAGGATGAAAGCGATGAACAAATGCGTTTTGAAACTGAGTCTCTAGGTACTGGATCGGGATCAGCAATAAATGTACAGAATCTTAGAGGAGCAAATTTAATGTCAACGGAACCATTCAATTTTGATTTTGTTAGCAGAGACTTAACGATAACGGCTGTGCCAATATTACAAGAATCCGATGAAGACGATGATGATTATGATGATGATGGAGAATAAAATCACTGTAGCGTAAATATATATATATATAGCTATATAAAAAACCAAAACCAAATTTTTAAAAAAAATTATTAAACATAAAAATATGAAATTATTTTGAGTACTACATTAAAATATATAGTTTCAATTAAACTTAACTTATTAAAAATTTTTATCGAATCTCATAATTTGCATCAAGTTAAAAGAGTAAAAAATGTGAACTTTTATTGTTTTAATAAAGTAATTCTATTCTGTCTTATCATGAAAAATATTAAACTCAACATTATGCTTAGAAGTGGTTTGAATATGATAAAAAATACAATTTTAAATAATATCGATAATTTTATAATATATTATTATAATTGCATAATATTAAAAGAAATTTTTTTAATTGTATATAAAACAAATTTTTAATAAGAAAGATATCGATATACAAAAACAAGTAAAAAAATTGCTATTTAGTTTTTTTAAAAATTTATCTGAATATGAAAATGAAAAAATATGAAAATATGAAAGACAAGACACAATTTTTAATAACATTAGTTCCATTTATTTAATTTGTTATATGGTAGATTAATATTGCTTATTTTTAGTTTCAGTATAGTTTTACACATTGTGAAAAAAATGTTATATTTTTGTATACTGTAGGTGGTAAGCTTTTATACACTGATTTATAAATAAAAATCTTGCTCCATTGGTAAAATATTTAAAAACAGTACCTTAGGTAATAAATAATGGTACTTATCTAATAATCACAACATTCCTGAGAAGGGCTTGAATTCTTTAGATAGATTTTCTTTATTGGTTATATTATTAAAAAAACTTTTTGTTTTAAGGTTAGTGGAAATATTAAGCGAAATTTTTCTCGTAAAATTATATATATACAAGTTAAGTGTATAAATATATATATATATATACATATTTATTATATTATATATGTATGAGTTATAACTCGGTTTAATGGTTGCAATAATTCTTAGTAAATAAGTTGAAATTAATTGTATGAGAATGAATTTGTTTTTATACTTAAAAAGGGAATATGAAATTTTTAAAAATGATATATATACAATTGTTAACTTTGCCTCATTCTTGCCATATAAAAACGCTAAATTCTTTTGCTGTGCTAGTTGAAATAAATAATTTTCTACAAAACTCATATACATAATTTTTAATAAATTGTTACTATACAATATTTACAATTCTTTGAATAAAAGTTTTTATTCATACATACTTGTATATGTATTAGATACAAAATTTAAAAAAGTTTTTTTACTTTCATTGTGGTAGTTGATAATAAACATAATTTTGCCATTATATAAACGCCAATATTTTAAATAATATTACAATATGTACATTTATTTCTTAATATGTATAAATAATTTGCATTATCCTATAAAATTATTTCGAATTTAAGTTAAATGTACTCTGTTATAAATAGCAGATCGTTTTTATTTACATTGTACCAAAAAAGTATGTAAAAATACAATGAATGAAGATAAATAAAAAAAATACAAAAAACTGAAATTTGGATTTTTACATACACACTATATGGTTTTAATAATACCTTTAAAAGTTAAATTTAATAAAGGAAACCTCTTCTTTAATATCAAAATCCAGAAAACACGTTAATTACCACACATAATAAAATTTATCAATATGAAATTGTGTACTTTTATTAATATTGTTTTCTATTTTAGGTACTACGGATGGATATTGGACAATATTAGAAACTGTGCCATATTCCATACAAAATACTAACACCGCCACAACTATTTCCAATGTAGTAAGCGGTTCTCAGCAACATTTATCAGATCATCGCACGCATCTGCAGCATATTCAAGAGCAGCAACTGCACCAGCAGCATGTTTCAACATCAACCGATCCAACGAATTTAATAACATCTGCCACAGTTGTTGTTGAAATACCATCTGAATCAATGGGTGGTTTACCAGGCAGCACGATACAATATACAATACCAAAAACGGAATCACATCAGCTATTGCGTACAGCAACTGTTACTTCCAATATAAACAAAATTCACCATAATCAACGTATACAACATTTAACACAACAACGTTTGATAAGCAATGCACCAAGTCAAACGACAACACCTTCCATACAACCGCAATCGCAACAGCAACAAACTCAACAACAACAACAACAACATCAGCAGCATGAAACACATCACCAACATATGCAGCAACTCGCTTTGCAAGATTGTTTAGATACAAATCTTGTAACACATGAACTGCAACATCAATCCCAACAACAGCAAACGACACAAACCCACCCAGAATATATCAAAATCAATGCTAATCGTCTGGAAGAAAAAGTTTTACTACGTAATGTTGTACAATATGAAACTACGGGCACAAATGTTGGTGACACAATTGTTATAGAAAATCCAAAGATTAATTTACATCAGCAAAATTCTCAGCAACAACAACAACATCGACATCAGCAACACCATCATCAACAACAGGATTCAAATATCGAAGAGCATATACTGCTAACAGAGCACGTGGTTAATGAAGTCGTGACCAATGAAAGTGACATAAAGGAAATATCAGCTGATACAGAACTTGGTGTAGAAATCGAGAAAGCATTATTTAGACAACGGCCAAAACTGGCTACATCTAGGAGTACGACAATAGATACAACTCCAGTAGGTAGTGAAAATGAATTTATTAATAATGGTGACAGTATTGGTGGTGGGATGCAATGGCAATACGTATGTAATGTATGCGGAAAATCATATAAAATTAAAGGTTCACTAAAACGTCATAAGAGTTATGAATGTGGTGTTGCTCCAACATTGTCTTGTCCGTATTGTCCGCACAAATGCAAGTACAAATCCGATTTACGTAAGCATATAACGCAGAAACATGGTAGTAACAGCTCTTGTAATAATACCGAGATACTAGGAATTCAGGAGATAGCATAAATTACACAAGTTTAGGCGCATAGACGCATTAATCCAATATGAGTTTGAACAATTGAACAACGTTTATCTATTAAAGCGAAAACACAATAAATCTGTACTTACATTGAGAACGCAATACATTTAGGAAAATTCAAGTTCAAAAAATTACCAAAAAGAAAAATTTTTTTATTTAAGAAATTATTTCTTTTTAATAAGGAAATTATTTAAATATAAGCAATTAAAGAACCTCTCAGTATTTTTACTTTTGAATAACATATTTTTTTAAGTGTAGGAAGTGCTTGATTGTTTGCTTTCTAATAAATAACAAAGCTGTCGATATTTTAGTCGTTATTATTCTTTTTAGAACCTGAAATTGTTATATATTTGCTTATAATTGTATATTTGCCATTATGTTTTAATTTTAAATTATGCAATAATATTTAAAAATATTACATAGATATGTGATCGTAAATAATATATAAATAAAATAATACGCTCTGATTAAATTAATAATAAATTTATTAACTTGAAACACAGAGTTTAAGTTCTTGTATTGATCAAATTAAATATTAATATATTTTTTAAACGGATTAATTAGTCAATTGTTTAAAAAGTTGTGTTTTATTTAAACAATCGATCAGTTATTCCATTTAAAAACATATGAATGAAATTTGTTCATTAAAACAATAAATTAAATATTAATTAAATAATTGAATTATTTTCGAGAAATTATGCTGTAATTACATTTTATTGTGTGTATAGATGTTTTTATGATATGCCAAAGAAAAGTTAATACTGCAACAATCAAGCGCTTCGCCAACTTCTGTATAAATATATATAATCTTAGTAAACCCTATAAATGTACAAATTCACTTTTATAGTTTAATTAGATATATAAGAATATTAATAAGAAATATCCTTTCCGAAATTAAAAAAAATAATATTTAAAATATGTAAAAAGTTAATAACTGTTGTACTTTAACAAAATAATAAAATTTTAAATGTAACAATATTAATTGTTAATTAAATGTAATTTAATTTCTAATATCTTAAATGAGTTGTTAATTATTTTTATAAAAATGTTATAAAATGATTTGTTTTATAACGTTTTGGGTTGCTTCGATCTCGATCCTTTAGTTAAGTTAAACGTAGCAAATCCAACAGTAGCAATATATGTAAGTTCATTTTTATTATTATGATTAATAAAATTCATCATATATATATGTGCTATTTTTATATGTTATATCCTATTCCAAATTAAAAATTTTGTAATCATTAATAATGTTTATAAATATATACTTACTCCGATGTTAATAAAAAAAGTTTTTTATGTTTCTTGCAGATATGATTGATGAAAAGGAATTCATTATCAATGAAGTGCTGGAAGTAGACTCAAGCGTATTGCTTCTACCAACAGAAGATACGAAACCCATTTCTAAGTCAACGAATAGAAATAGATGCAAAACATGTCATTCCAAAACACAAAAAGTGAGAAATAATTGCATAAAATGCAGCAAAACGTTCAAATCGAAACATCTACAAAAACATAAAAAATCTAAGCGTACTAGTGCTCTATATCATTGTTTTATATGTGACAAAACTTTAGCGCGTAAATTTTGTTTGAAAAGACATATGAAATCCGTGCATAAAGAAATTAGTTGGAACTCTATACCAATTGATCAATTGTAAATTTGTAATAATTAATAACATAATTTTGTATTGATAACTGTACAGTTAATCGTTTATTAATTCAATTTTATATGCAAATTAAATATTTTATTATAAATTAATAAAGAGTTAGAACAAAAAATGCGTAACAATTCTACTATTAAGTATTCAAGTTTAGATTTAGATCACATCAAGTTCAGTTACTCATATAGTTAAACTTGCAATGAGTTTATTTGATTCTACAAATGAAAATATAAGGCAAGTTATAATAAATTTAAAGCTTGGAAGATTAATTAATACAGCAATAGCGAAAACCAATTAAATGAATTCGAACACGAAGCCAATTAACGAATTAACGATCGTCATTAGTAAGTAAATAAAGTAAAACAATAACTGATATATATAATTTTATTTGCGCGAAATCATAAGTTTTTCTTTTAATTTTATTTCTCCAGTATTTAACTTAATTACTGTTAATTTGAAGATTTCTTGGAAATAATATATATTTTAAATTTTATTTCATTTGTGTGTTGATAAGTTATAAAATAAATAATTTGTTTTATTTCTTGGATTTTTTGTAAAAGTGAAAGAGGTAACAATAATTATTTTATTGATTATAAATCATATATAAGATTAAAAAATTGTTTATATATCTAACATGAATTTCTTCTTCTAGGTTTAATATTAAAACACAGTTGACGTTATTCATGGCGTTATCAAATAAGGATCAAATATGGTATTGGCGAAGACTAAGAGGTTTAATGTTTTTTTATGGTCTCAATATATGTAAAAATTAGTGAATATTGTATAAGTACATTCAACTGAATGGAAATTACTTTATTGTTATATAAAACAAAATGAAATAAAAATAAATTGTATGTATAAATAAAAATGCTTATAACTTTATATTATTCAATACACAAAAACAATTTTATTTATAAAAACTTTTTCAGTATTTAAGTTTTCAAAATAAATGCATGCACAAGAAACATATATCAGAATTCTTTATCAAATCTTTTTTAATAATATAAAATATTAGTATTTAATATTAAAAATTTAAGTTCCGCATTTCTTTGCGTATGTAAATCTAATATAAATCTCTACAATTAAATAAAGTATTGTTTTTTAGTTCAATGAAGAAAATGAAATTACTCTAAAATTAAAATGAAAACATTATGAGATGAATATAAAAACAGAGACTAAAACATATATGTTTTATTACAAAATACAAATTGAAAAGAAGCAATTTGAGAGATTTGTACAGTTTATAATATAATAAAATCACTCAGAACAAATAAAAAAAAAAATTAATTTAATGATAAAATTTCTTATTTCAATTTACACAAAAAAAAAAAAAATAAAAAAATTCAACGATTTCTACAGTTTAAAATAGAAAAAAATAACTCTTAATATATCCCACAATTATACAATATGTATATAACTTTTAGTAAGAATATTATTACCAGTCTCTAATTTTATTCCACTGCAAAGCATTTTGCTTTGCTTATTATATAATAATTTTCTAAATTAAAGGTAAAGGTATAAATCATATACCTCTTCTCTAAAAATATATTATTTTGTATTTAACGAATTAAAATTAATTATACTTATAAGGTTTATTCATGTGTATAGATAGTTATATAGGTATATGAAAAATGTGTATGCGTTTCTAATAAGACTTGTCATTTTTTAAAGTGAAATGTGTTAAATATATTATATTTTATGTTATTACTGTGGTTTAGAACAGATTAAACATAGTAGGAACAAATAAATTCTTATGTATTTATAAATTAACTTTTATGAACGATTAACAGTTTAAATATAATAACATTTAAATTTAATAGGAAATGAACTATATTAATTTTTTTTTATATAAATTTTTTTCAGAAAAAATGCAACTTAAATACAAATTAAAATCCGAACCAGAAATATACGATTCAAATGATGAAGAACAGCCTACAACTTCCAAACAAAATAGACAAATGTTAAAAGTTATCAATATAAAAACAGATACAAGCGAACAAAATACACAAAAAGATAGAAGATGCCATTCAACGGTTACGGATACAGATAGTGATGATGAAGAAATACTTCCAGTTTCAACATCTGTGTCTGGAATGTTGCCAAAATGTCAAATTCTACAAAAGCTACAAACGACATTGCCAACTACAACAACAAAACAACAGCAACAACAGATACAATCGCCAACTATTTTGTCTAACAATTCATCTGCATTAATAGCATTTCAACAATTGGCATCAATTTCCTCAGCTCAATCCCTTAAAAGCTTTTTACCTAACCTGCCAAAGCATTTAATCAATAGCGATAGTTTGGTACAAACTAATCGTACTGGTAAATTACCGAGACAAAGTACAAAGCGTTTATCACAATTTGAAGCAAACCGTTGTCCACTTTGTTCGCGTGTCTACCGTTCCCAAGCCTTTCTGAATGAGCACATGCGTAAGGAACACTCCATTTTAATATAAATAGGTATTGTGGAGACTTTCGGAAATTAGAAAAGAATTTTTCAAAAATTTTTATTATAAAAATTATAATATTCATAAAGGTGAATTCATAACTTTTTTATAACATATTTTTATATATTGAGTTTATAATGTGAGATTAAAATTCTGAAAAATAGTTTTGATATAAATAAACAAGAAATATTATTTAAAAAAAGACATTCAATTCATTAAAAAAGATGATAAAAAATATTAATTAAATTAATTAATTAAATTTAAAGAACAAAATTTTATATACGACTTTGGTTTATAAATAAAAAACTATTAAAATTATCATTATCAAATTTTATACAGAAATTAAGTATAAATAAAACTAATACTAAGCAGTTGTTTCTTTAAATACTTTTAGATAAAAAATAAATTCTTATATATTTTTAGACCTTGATACTTTTTTAAGAAATAAATAGTCTTGTAAGATTTAATATACAATGTATGACGATTATGAAAATATTTTGTAATGTAAAAGTAAATGTGAGTTGGTACAAAAATTTTTTAAATTACTAATATATTTATTTTAAAATATGTATTGCCTTAAAAATATAATTTTAAATTAGAGAATATCAAGAGATTGATTAAAAACTAATATTTCATTTATATTGTTTATACTATTAATGAATTAAAAATTAGTAATTCATTTAATTATATGTATAAGTTGTACAAGAAAAAGTTAAAATGTAAAAAATTATTTTTGTGAGATTTTTTGAATTATAAATAAAAATTTAGGTAATAAAAATAAAATACCATATTATTGAAAAATAAATGAAAATTCTTCCCATTGCCTTTCTTTTTCAAAAATGTTTATAATAAGCACTCGATAACACACTTTAATTTGTTATTGAATATAGAATTTTTTATTTTTGTTTTTTAAATAATTATTAAATATTATTTTTTATTTATAACTTGGTTCTTACTTAATGATTTAAATTATTTATTTATTTTTATTTTATTCCGTTTTTTTTTTGTAGAATTTTATACATCATTTGCAAATGCAGAAATGAAATCCCAGCCTCAGTTTGAGCAGATGCACATACGGTATCCGTGCCATGTTTGCGGTAGAAGCTATTTGCGCAAAGCACATCTCAAACGTCATGTCTACAATGAATGTATTGGTATAGAACCAAAATTCATTTGTGAATTGTGTCCATCTCGGTATAAACGAAACGAAGATCTTAAGATACATTTGAAAAAAGTACACAATGTTTATCTCAACAGTGGAACATATCAACGCAAATCCGAAAATAAATATAAGAAGTATACAACTCGAAATCATCTGTCTATATAATTGTGGATTATAACAAACAAAAAGGGTGATCATAAAATCTTATATATATTAAATTAAACAATTTTAAAAAAATAATAGATTGATACTAAATATTACGTGTTGTTTATAAGGAAGGTGATATTTTTGTAATAGTACTTACACTTTTTCTCAATATAAATATAAATATAAATAAGTAAAAAAAGCATATTGATAATTTAAAAAAATTAATTCAATTGAATCTGAAATACTTGTATTAAATTATGTATCCATTAAGCGAACATTTTGTTCTTAGGATATGGAATTTGTATGAGCACGTGTTTCGCGCGTTAATATAATATTTTCGCCCATTTTTGTTGAGTACAATAGAACAATTCAAATATTAAAATTTGTCCGAAAATTTAATTATGTAGTTAGTTTGATACTATTCAAAAAAAGGCAGAACTATTTCTGAAGAATAGGTACATAAAGATTTTATATAACTTTTCCTACTACCTCTACGAACTTATTAAATTTATCACAAATCGTGTGCATTATTTCTCTGAAGTTTTGTAAATGACTACTTTTCTTAAGAATAGTAGAAAAGTATCTTTAGTTTAGTTTCACTTTAAATTAGTCAAAACAAAGAACTCTTTTTTAATTTAAAATTGAAAGTGCTTTAATCTCTATATATCCTTTTCTATATCTATAGAAAAGCGTTAATAACAGAGTTTACAGTTCCCACAATATGAAATCTAAAATTATATTCTTTTTGTTTTTAAGCGAAATTTCTAAATATGTTTATTTTCTCTACCTGTGTTTCAAGCTAATTACCAAACCATTATGTGCCCATAGATACCAAAATATGCTTCTATATTTTGCATTGAAGTATTCAAAAATTAAGTCTTCTTATATGCTTTGCAAAAAACCTGTTGCTACCAAAATATGATTTGCAAAAACAATTTTAAAATAAAAAGGTATTTTAGACTGATTTAAAATTTAAACACAATTTCAAATAAAATTTTAAATAGAATTGTTTGCAATTTTTTTTATATAAATTTATTTTTATATAAGTGATTTGATCCTGGAACATACACTAATGCTTACTGAATCGACTGATACTGATAACAATTTCAAATATTAAATTTTTTCAAATAAAATTTAAAAAAAAAATAAACGTAAAAAATAATTAAATAGTTAATGATTATGAAAGTTTGTTCATAATTCCTAAAAGAAATTTTATTTTTTTTAGTCAATTAGTGTTAACGTATAAAAACGCATAGATTAATATTTCAGGGTTAATATGAAATATTAACATTACACCATAAATTTTGTTAAAAGAATATTGTAAAAATAAATTAATTCTAATCGTACAGAAATTAACAACTATAAGACTTTATTATAATTTTATATTTATATTATATTTAATTTAAATATAATATAAATAAATGTATATGTATATATATATAAAATTAATATTATATAAATATAATAAATTATGTTTAATATAAGTATGATTATTCAATACAACATATTTATTTTGTGATATATTTAAGGTATTTAAAAATTTTAATTTAATTTTTTTCTCATTATTCAATCTCAAATATAATTTCTTAAGCTTACTTTTTATGTAATATAATATATAAAATTTATGTTTAATTAATTTCGTATAAAATAATTTTAATAAAGCTATTTTGAAAAGGCAGCATATGAGTTTCTTTCTAAAAAATTAAATATTATATATTATATTTACTACAATTAACTAAAATTTAGTTTTAATTCAAAAATTCATTAAATTCATATTAAATTTGTTTAATTTAAAAGGTTAGTAAGTTTGAAATTATTTATTTAATTATAATTAACATAAATATGACTTTTAGGTTTTATTTTGATATGGTCCCAATGGTAAAAAATACCGGAAATATTTTATATAAAGAGGTAATTTAATTTTAATTATTGACAATCAAAAAACATTTTCTAAGAAATGTACTTATTTTTTTCAGATAGTTTTTAAGCAAGCAGTTGCAGTTTCCAAAAAGTATAATTAACTGAAGTTTTCTTGAAGACAACATATAGTGAGTATACATACGTTATATATATGTTTATGTACTGTAGATTTCTATATAAAGCATTTTAAACTATTATCGGTTAAATTTTTAGTTTCTTTAAATTTTAAGCATCTTTATTATTTTATTGTTTAATTTATAACTACGTCACTAGTCTTAACATTAATATTAAAATTTTTTTTTATAAATTATTAATTTAAGGAACAACTGTTATAACTAATTGTTGTTGTTGCTGTCGTTATTGTAACCCTAAGTACCTTAGAACCAAAGACATGAAAGAGATAATGAAATATGCATATGAGTGGGGAATGGGGAGAATGGCAGAGAGTGAAGTGGGGACAAGGAATCAATTTATTTTTAAAAGTCAATCGTAGTGGTTATCTAGACACTGTGTGAACTTTCCCTGATAATTTTATAGCATCACTATAGGCTCTATAGTTTTATCCTAGCCCACTTAAGCTCAAATAATGGTCCGTTGTGACACCACGGATTAGGGTTGTTCATACGCAAGCTAGGGATCACTGTCGAAAGGCACGACTCCCTCATCTCAGTAAAAATGAACCAACCAATTCCTTCATTTCGCAGGATGACATCTCTGTCAGGTCGGTAAAGGGCCACGAAAATTTTAAATCTTTTTCTAGCTAATGAAATAATGACACATGAATCGTAATGCTGAGTATGTTACATCTTATTTGAAACACCTGACTAGTACGTTTATTGTCCATTTTGGACTAAGTCGGTCATGAGATCTGCAAATTTAAAATAACAGATGTTTTCATGTTAATAATATTCTTAATTTGTCTGAGTTAACTCAAGAAACTTCTAAGAAACTTTTCTTAGGAGCTTAAGATATAGATGTCATGACTCGCGGAATTGTGATTTCAAGGCAACTAGATCAGTACTTTCGTAAGGCATTTGAGGTATGGAAATTTGAACTAACATGTGCTATCCAGTTTATCAATATCCTTAATTAGTCCGGGTTAGCTTAAGAGAGACTTTCCTAGGAGCTTAGCAGATAGATCTCATAGCACGCCGTCATGCAATTGTGCGGAAAATTTTTCAATGCCTTTATACGGACTTTGAGGTCTGTGAATTTGAAGGAAGACATATTATTAAGTTTACCAATATCCTTTATTTGTTTGGGATAGCTCAAGAGACTTTTTTTAGCAGGTTACGCGAGAAATCTCATAAAATGAGGCCCTGCAATTATTAGGAAACTGTTTGAATTACTTCGTGCGACATTTGAGGTTTGATAATTTAAACTAACAGATGTTATAAAGTTTATTAATATCTTTAATTTGTTTGAGATAGCTAAGGGAACTCTCTTAGATGATAGATCTCATAAATCTATCATAATAATAACAGAGTTTAGTTATTTATATATGATTCGTTTAGCTTAAAAGCTGAAGCAAACACTATTATGATCGATAATACACATATTTCTATATTTCTATATATATAGTTTGACAAATATAATAACTCATATTTCACTTTGTGCTAAGAGTATATACTTATTTTCATGAATGTATTTAAACATAGGTTTAACAAAATGATTAAGAACTCCTTAAAACTTTTATTTTGTGAGCTAAATTTTTTCATAGGTTCTATCTAAAGAATAGAAGCAAATTTAAAGAATATTTCAGATACATATTCACTTAATTACATTTTTTAAGTGAAGTGAACACATAAACAAATAGCATTGACTTTAAGTCCTGATAGCATTAAATACTATAAGCATCGCTGATTTGAAAAGAATATACGTGTTTATATATGTATCTGTATCTGTATCTGTATCTGTATCTGTATCTGTATTTGTCTGTATATAGTGAAATTGAAGTTAAACGGTAAAAATGCATTGCTACATTCAAAGTGTGGAAACGCAATACAAAATTCGATTCGATTCAGGACATTACTTGCCCGTACAAGTTTGTAAGATATGTAGTGAATTTCAAATAAAGTTTCCATTTAACTCATAGCACCACAACAATTTTTATTTGTTATTCTTAAATATTTTTCCCTCTCTCTTCTGAAATTTTTTTATTTTTCTCATCTTCAGCTAAAGTATATACAAATTCTAGACGACTGTTAGAAAATCATCAAAGTAAAATAAAAACAAAAAAAAAAACTTTTTTAAGGTAGGTAAGTAATAAGGAATGACCTTCGAAATGAAATCTCGAAAATTTGCGTCTATTTTGGGTACAGATTTTTGTGTATACATATTATCCATACATGCATATTAAATTTTTCAATCTATCTAATGGATTTATTTTCATTGGCGCGTATGTATTGGTTTTCTATTTAACTTTCCTATAAATTTTTGCCTGCTAACGAAAAATGAGTTTTTCGTTTGCCTGCTTTTTACCAAAACTTATCGATATCAATTTAAATGTAAATCTGTAAGTTAAAATTTTGAACAGCACTAATACTAACATAGAATTGTTGGGAAAATATTTTATAAGGATTATTTTTCCTTTTATCTAGTAAAAGTGCATAAGAAAGGCTTTAGTACAGTGCAGGATTCAAAACTATATATATAGTGCCTAGTATTATATATATAAATATTTTATTTTTGTTTTCTACAAAACAATACTATAATATTTAGAATAAAAATTTTTAAATTTGCATATAAAAATCATTCCAAAGCTATATACATTTATTAATATTTACAAAGAAAAATACTAAGTTAAACTTTTAAATTAATATTTATTTCTTTTTTATATAAAAATAATTAACTACTTGTTTATTATGCTAAATTACTAATAATTCAAACAATTTAATTATCAAATAATTGCCATAAGAGAATATTGTCATAGAGTATAATTAAATTCGCCACTGTTTTGTATTGTCTGCACACAACTGTGTCACACACACACACAAACACAGGCACACACTTACATTAGTTCTGCATCTTTCTAATCCTAATCGTCGACTGGTTTTATAGGCACTTGCACGTATGCATTCCATACGAAAAGTTTTTCTCCTCTCTTTCACTCGTAATGACTTAAATGGAAAGTTCGATGTGCATTCGTTGTCGTTATTAAAGCAGATGTGCGAATGCATGCGTGCGTAGGTTGTAAAGGATCAAAAACAAAAAAAAATACATTTCCTGGAAAATCTATTTATTTTTGTTTATTGTTGTTGTTGTTGCATTGATTTGTATGCGTGCTGATATTGGCTTTGTGCATTTCATTTTGATGAATGCATATCTCAAATGTGTTGGTGTTTGTAGGCTTTGAAACAATTTTAAGCTAAACTGTATTGTTAAGACCAGTGCAGAATTGTAAGTGACCTAGTAGTGACGCTTTTTGATTTTATTTAATGCAAAAGATACTTTACTCTATAACTGCTAAAATTTTATTAAGTGTGAAAAAAAGTAAAAAATTAACAAGAGTTGTACTCTCTTCAATTAAATAAGAATATATCTTTCAAATCAAATATTTTATTAGTGATTTGTCTCTGTTGTCAATATGATATTAAATGCTAAAATTTTTTAATAATATGTGTGTTGTATATTTAAAGTTTTTATTATTTAAATAAAAAGAAATTAAATCTGTATAAATTATAAATAAAACACAATAATACATTTTTTTCTATTAAATAATTTCATACAGTTCATTCGTGACTCACTTACATTCTGCACTGCAATTAAAAGTGAAAAACAATAATAAATACAAATTAATTTAATCGAAAAAAAAATTTTTTTTTTTCAGATCAACATCCAACATACTACAATAATACTATTAAAGGACCAAAGCAAATACTGCATTTTGCAGTCTATGGTGTTACTCTATTTAATAAAATTTTTTACTAATCTATTTTTTTTCTTTACAATTTCAGATTTGTATATACACGTTAAGTATTGAAATAGTTCGCTTAAACTACCCAACACACCATACATACATTATCATTGAAAGTGCGCATGGTACAATGGTTATTCATTACGGTGGAAGGGTGTAGTGTGCAACAGATGAACATTTTCACCTAAACAATCTGTTCACGCAAGACACAATTCATTGCATTCCATTAAAAAAAACAAAAACAAACATTAAACATAAATCTACTGCTGCATTACATCGACATTATGAACATATTAATTTTAAATAAAACGCATTTGAAAACAATTTTTTTTCATTTTATTTTATTTATTTATTAATATATGTAATTTAATATTAATATAATTTATTTTTTTTTTAATTACTTCATATAAATTCTTTAATTTTCAGCTTAATTTTAAAACTTCATAATCATTTAAAAGCAAATAATATATTTTTTTTATTCTAATATTATTATGTTAATTAGCAGTGTTTTTTCAGCACTAACGGTAGTAAACTTGGATAATATCACGTGGAGTATCAAGCCCATTACTCGCTGGAATACTCACATAAACGAACAACTCGCTAGAATACTTATATATTCGATCCCAGTGCTATAACTCATTAAATTGAGTTCTATATTACAACGTTAAAGTGCTTATTTTTTATTAATTTTATATATATTTTTTTTAAATTTTAAGTTACACTTAAAAGTTAATATATTTTCCCACTACCGTATGTGCTTTGAAAAATCATCATAATCATTTGGAAAAAATATATAAATCTCGAAATGAGGTATAGTTTTGTCAATTGATAACGTAACAAAAAAAAATCATAGTTTTTAAAATTTATAATTAAAATATATGTATAGATCAATATTTGTGTTTATGGGTTGTATTTAAGTAACAAGTAATTATTTAGTTAATTTTTTGCTGTGATAATAATCTAATTATTTAAATATTATTTTGTTGTTTGCTACTTTAGTTTTTTTAAATTAAGAAATATTTTTTTTTTATTTTCATTGCATGTTTTTATTTGCTTTTCCTATAAGAATTAAAGTATTCATAATATAATGATCATATATTTGATATATATTTTCATAATATTATATTATTTTTATTATTCTTATTATTATTTCATTATATTTATTTGTTTCGCTTGTTTTTAATAATTCACTTTTATATTTTCTTCATTACCCATATATATACATTATGTATTCTCATATTCATATTCACATTCATTAACTAATCAAACAAAAAAAAAATCTTCAACTTTTTCAGATTTAAGTAAAAATATAGGTCAGACTCATAAAGAGAACCACGCACCGTTAAATGCCATACAGAAGTCAAATCCTCATTCAATTTTGAATTTACGCAAGCCAGGAGGGCTTTCATCAGTTAAATTAGCAATGAATAATGTTTACAAAAAGCAAATTTCTGCCACAGAAATGACAGATGCAATGTTTAGATATTATAAGGCCAAAGCACCAAAGAATGAACAGCAATCACTGAAGCATAGCATGGTGGGACAAACCTCACCTGCTTCTGCTGAAACACATGAACCGTCCACTATAGCTGCAATTGCAACCAATGGAGCTGCAGATGCCATACGCATAAATACGGCTTCAAAAAACTTGCAAGGCGATGAAATGGTGCCTGTTAGAAATACAAAAGACCTAAGTATGTTAAGATTAAAAGAGAATCCAATTTTTAACAATACGACATCATTTCATCCACGCATAAAATTTACAAATAAACTCGCTTCGGTTAATGACTCTGCTGAAGATGCTGGAGAAAATATGCAAAACAATGCTTCGATTGCAGCAATTCCAACATCAGTGGTAGTTACTGCTTCTCCACAAATTGACATCAAACCAATTGTAGACGTTGTTTCGGGATTAACTAAAAATACTTCAACACCCACTACAGTTATAAAGTCTACACCCGATCCTGAAGCTGGGACATCTGATCTTATGCCGGCTAATGCAATTGCAGCAGCTCTTATTAACCGCAACTATCACTCTTTTCAGAAGCAGCTACGTGCACAAGATATACTTCGGCACCAACAATCCAGAAAGCAGTTGAAAACTGCTAATAATGCTGCTCATGACTTTAAAAACGATGATGTTCGTGTCAAAGCTTTGGATACATTTTTGGAACGGCAAAGAAATATCAAATATCTGGATGAAAATGAGGATATGAATGCAATTGAAAATAATGATGGCGACGATGAGGATGATTCACGCTACAATACTTTTGATGATATACATTTACTTGAGACCAGCGCCACTCAAACAAAAAATAATAATTCCGACAGTAACAATAAATCTGGTTATCTTTCGGATGAATCCCAAAAATTATTTATGGCAGCGAATGCTTTTCGTAATCTTGAGTATACACTTAGTGACTATTTGTTGCCCGGCAGCGATAGTAGCAATGCTAATCCTAACGGCACAGCTTCTCTCAGTGAGAATGGCGAATCCATATATGAATGCCGACATTGTGGCAAAAAGTATCGTTGGAAGTCAACATTACGTCGGCATGAAAATGTGGAATGTGGCGGTAAGGAACCGTCACACCAATGCCCTTACTGTCCCTATAAATCGAAGCAGCGTGGTAATTTAGGTGTACACGTACGCAAACATCATTCAGATTTACCACAGTTAGCAAGCAAACGTCGTTCCAAATATTCTATGAAATCGGAAAAAGATAATAGCAGCAACTATAATACAGGGTCGGACGATTCCTCAAGTAAATTAGTAATCGATTACCCCAAGTAAACCGTATAAAAGTTATATGCATATAACAATACACTTAATCATTGATATTATAAGCTTAAAAATTTAAACTGTACACATATTTTGTTCTTGCAAACTTACTGTTATGATAAGAGTTAAAAATGTTAAAAATCAAATTTATATGTATGTATATTTATTTTTAGTACTGACAAAAAATTTCTAGGACAAAATAATAAAATTATTTTTTTTTCCTGTACTTCAAAAATAGGCGAAGTAAAGCCTAAGTAGAGTTAAAAATTTACAAGATGGACACCACAATAACGTGGCGTTTATATAACCAAATTTAAAAATTAAAAATATTTTAATATGTAATGATTTTAAACTGTTAATGATTGTTTCAAATGTGTAGTCTTCGCCTTATCATATCACAATATTATTTTTAAGCTTCGAAATAACGAAACAGGTATTGTATAATTTTTGAATGCAATTTCTATTTATTATTAAAATTAATTATATTTACAAATGTAATAAATATCTAATCAAACGTAAAGAAAATCAAAAATAAAATTGTAAGTTTAGGTGTAATTTGATTTAAAATTAATCACTAAGCAATTTGTATTAATATATTATTAATATCATTTTGTCGTAATATATCATTAAATATAAGTATAACATTTATATTTCATTTATATGATTATATATTTCCTAAAACAACTTACAATAAAAAAAATAAACTTTTTTTCCATTTAATATTTAAAGATAAAAAAAAAGCAAAAATAAATAAATACATAAATGGAACTTTAATTTTTTTTAATACATTATTCCATTTAATATTTAAATCTGCAAAAAATAAATAAATAAATAAATGGAACTTTTATTTTTATTAAATATTAAATTATTGCTAGAAAGAAAGCTATAATGCTAGTTGACTCAAAATATTAAATAGGAATGAAAATAAGTTGTTTTAATATAACTTAATTTTTCACTTTTACTTATATAAATGTAAAAGTAACCATTTTCTAGATATATTAATTTTTTTATAATTAATTTTTAATATTTTTTCATATAGATATTTGTTTAAAAATATATATATATGATGTGTATGATTTACATTAATAACACATATGAATATATTTTATTATTATATACATATTATACAATGTATAACTTCGCACAAACTACTAACATGGATATATATGTATTCTAATCCTTCGATTGTCCTAAAAACTTCTATATTATTTTATGTGTGTTGTTTGCTGGATGTTTTTTTTTTATTTTATTTTGATTTTTGCATTATGAGTAATATCATTAATTAACAATTATCATTAGCAATTTGGATATTGAAATGTTTGTTCAAGTATTCTCGTTAGTTGATAAAATATGCGAGTATATTTTATATTTATTTGCTCTGCAATTTTTTGGTCAGAGACACAATCATAAACTTTTTTAGTTGGAAAACATACCAATAATTAAAAAAAAACTTTATACCAAACAAAAATAAATTTATTATCATATATAAAATACCTGTAGCCATTTTATTAGTTTATATATTTTTTTTAAAGTACTTTTAATATTAATTACTATAACCATATAAGACTTATGACTAAAACGATCTCCTTTGTCTGAAATTTCTTTGACTGACATCTTGGGTGTTCCATAACTAGCCTAACGATGTATTTTTTTTGTCCTAAGACTGAATATTATTTTTTGAAGTCATGCTTTGCGAAATTTTTTATTATAATTTTTTTTTGCAAATTAACCAAAATTTGATTTAAAAATAAAAAATTTGAAACAATTCAGTTTTGCTTAAAGTATTATATTATTTTTTACATAATTCGTATTTAATTTATACAATATGTAATTTCAAATAAATAATTTATATTAGTATTATATTTACAATTAATAAAATTTAAGTTGTAAAACTGACAATATTTAAAATATAATTTAATCGATAAAAAAACATATATTCCCAATGATTTCCATTTATTTTTAATTTTGAGTTTAGTTTTTAAAATTTTTTAAATATACGAAAAAGCAGTTGAGAAACAAATTAAATTACAAATGTAATTACAAATGAATTATTTATAATAATTCAAATTTGTTGGTACACTTTCAGGAATAAATTGGGTTTATTTTATTTTTATAAAATAATTTCAATTATTCTTATATTGTTCTTTTATTTTAAATGTATATATATATTCTTTATGGCAATGTGGCAAAACAAAATTAAATCATTTCGAATGATGACTTGTGCACTCATTACCATAAGTAATAAAAAATCCTTAAATATTATTTAATTTTAGTTGGATATGCAATTATAATAATTTTTTTGAAACTTTTATAATATATTACTATGAAACTTTTTTGTTTTACAAATTTTTGAAACAAAATTATATTCTATATTAAATAGTTCACAATCTTTCATTTTTATAATTAATAAATCAATTAAACTATTTCTTAACATTTTCAATTCTGATGCTTTTATATTCCTAAATGTATTCTGAATTAACTAAAAGAGTTGAAATTAACTCAGTCTATATATATATATGATAAGTATATATATATATATAATATGTATATACAATATAAATACATATATAAGTATATATATATATAAGTATATAAGTATATATACTTATAAATATATATATATAGTATATATACGTACATATTATATGTACGTATACCTACACAAATAATATACACGTATACCTATACATATTATATGTACGTACATGAATATATACCATATATGTACGTATACGTATACATATTATATATACGTATTATATATAAATGTATAATTATTATATATATAAAAGCTTTTCAGAAATGTGTGTTTCTTTGAAGTTAAAATAAGGAAAACACAAAAAAAAATTATTTCCTAATCTATTGCAAAGCCTTAAACATAATATATCATACTTACTAGATTTTAAGAGATAATTTTTTACATATATTTCTAAGGACTATTATTAACGTTTTAAGTATATACTCAAATTAAATATTGAGAATAATATGTTAATCTTAAGCCATACATTTTTTATAGTCATACACACAAGTCAATATTTTGACTATAAATATATAGTTTATATAAAAATCTAAAACCAAATTTTATACATTTGTAGTGCTAGAGACAAATATATAGATAGATATCTTAAAAAAATTATAAAAAAATATATAATATTTTTAAATAATTAATTAAAACGAAAACAATTATTTATAATATAAACACGAATATAAACTCAAAATATTGTTATTAAAAATATTTTTAATTTAATATTTTCATTTAATATATTTATAATATCCTACACATTATTATACGCATTAATATTATAAAATTAAATTATATATCATATTTTTCTACTTTTTTAATAAATACTTTTTTAAACAAATATTAATGTGTTTATTTAATAAATAATCAATATGTCAATATATGTTATTCTCATATTCTTTCAGAGTAATAAATCGAGTTATGAATTCCCTATTTTACAGCTGTATTAACATCAATGACTCACTGAATTACTGACAGTGAAATAATTCTTATGTTGCTCGTTTTTTTAATTATCCTTAATTTTTTCTCTTTCTCTCTATCGTATTTTCTCTTTCTTTTTCTAAGCCTTTCTCATTCTTTTTCTTACTCTTTCTTGTTCTTTTTCTAAGTCTTTTTCGTTCTTTTTCTTTCTTTCCATCTCTCTCCCTCTCTAGCTTTTTTTGACTCTCCTCGTTTTTCTCTCTCTCTCTCTTTGTCTCTTCTTTTTTGTGTGTTTTAAGTTCTATTTTTCTGACATTCTTTCCTTCACTCTTTACATTTATGGTGGGTACGTTGTTACCTTTGATTGGTAACGCATTCCGTGTTGCATTATTGTGGCTGTATGGTAGTGTTGTAATTGTGGTTTTTGTAATTACATCTTTATGTTAATATTAAACAATGAATTAAGTTTCGATGTTTTTACTTCTCAATTACTAACTATACCAAAATTATATATTTTTATTTTAAAATTTGTTTTCTTAGTTTACTAAAAACTTCTGTCAAATTGATTTCTTGAATGTATACTGCGTTATCACCACACAACCCCTTCTAGAATTTGATGCCCAGCTGACGGCAAAATCTACTTTCTGTTGTAGTGGCACTTATGCAGTATACACGTTGGAAACCGTACAACCCTTCCTGCTCGGGTCACCTTCGGTGTATGTTGAACACAGTCACTGCGGTTAGGTTCTTCCATTCGTTCTCTTGTCAAACTTTTCCCGGGTTCATTCGCCATGTATGCCGGTTTCACGCGGTCCATACTAACATTTACTGTCCGTCCTTTTACCCTAATTTTTAAGGTTTTTTCGCTACGACTTATTACTTCATACGGACCCTCGTATGGCTGCTTTAATGGAACACGTACAGCATCGTTACGTAGGAATATGTGTGAACCGCCTTTTAAGTTCTTATGCACATACGGTTTCTCCGCAATATGACGTGAGGTTTGTAACGGTTTCAGCTCCTTCATCGTTGCTTTTATTACCTTTATAAACTCCGTTTGCGGTACTTGTTTGTCTTCGCCATCGAAGAAGGTACGGTGAAAACGTTCCACTAGCCCAAAACGTTCCCAACTAGTAGTTCGGTGCCTTTCGCACCCCAACATTTTTGCTAGGTCCTCAAATAGCTTGGACTCGAACTGCCGTCTTGGTCCGTCGTAATTCTTTTTGGTACGCCATAATGCGCTATCCAATCTTTTATTAATGCTTCAGCAACATATTCCGCTGTTATTTCAGCCTAACGCATGTTAGGCAATACCGCATACCATTGCAGAGAAGTAATGGTCCCACGATATCAATGTTTACGTGCTCATAGCGTTGATTTCATATTTTAAACTCTTGCAGCACGGTCCTATTGTGTTGCTGGATTTTCGACTTTTGGCATGCATACAGGTTTTGACCATTTCGCTTATTTCCGCCTTCATTTTAGGCCAACAAAAACGATCATTGACTAGTCTCTCCGTTGCTTTTCTTCCAGGATGAGCTAATGTATGTAATTTCTCAAAAACTTGCTTGCGGAATGCTTTCGTGATGAATGATTTTGCCCTCTTTTTGGATACGTCACAGTATATGGAAACATTATCTAGAGGCAGATTCACCAATTTAAGCTCCAGAGATGACAATTCATGCAGCTTTAAGCTTTTTCAACAATTCATGCAGCTCTTGATCAGTTTTCTGCGCTTCTGCCAATTTACAATAGTCTAATGGTCGTCTGAATTCAGTCATCACACTTTCAATTCGGGATAAAGCGTCTGCAACAGTATTTTGATCGCCTGCTATGTCTGAATGTCTGTCGTCAGCTGCCCGATGAAATCCAAATGACGTAGTTGGCGTTCGGATGCTTTCTCCGGTTTTTGCAGAAAAGCGTATGTAATTGGTTTGTGGTCCGTTTATATAGTGCAGTTCCTGGTTTCAGTCATGTACCTAAAGTATTTAACCGCCATATATATTGCAAGAAACTCACAATCATACGTACTATATTTCTTTTGTGCCTCAGTTAGCCTTTTAGAATAAAATCCCCACGGTTGCGTTTGTCCGTTCACCAACTGCTGCAGAGCTGCTCCTAGCGCGACGTTACTAGCATCTACATTTAGAACTAGTTTTACGTTTGGAGCCGGGTGGGCTAACATCGCAGCATTTGTTAGGTCGTTTTTACACATTTCAAACGTTTTTTTAGCTTCTGCTGTCCACTCAACTGGAGACTTATCGTTCCTCTTATTAACTTTTATTAACGCGTGCAGGACACCCTGATTCTTTGCAGCATGCGGGAGAAAACGCCTGTAAAAGTTTAATGAAGCGATAAATCTTCTTAATTCACGAGCTTCTGTTGGTTTTTTTAAAATTTTTTATTGCTTCAACCTTCTCGGCTGTAGGACTAATTCTGTCTTTGTTAACTGTGTGCCCTAGGAAGGTAACCTCTTTCTTGAAGAATGCACATTTACCCAAATCGATTTTAAGGTCATGGTCCCGTAATCGCTTGAACACCTCTCTTAAGTGTCTCTCATGCTCTACCTCATCAGCTGATGCCACGCAAATGTCGTCTATGTACGTTACTACGTAATCTAGGTTTTTTAACATTTATTCATTCATAAATCTTTGAAACGTTTGTGCGGCATTGCATAAACCAAAAGTCATTACGTTAAATTCATATAACCGAATGGGATTATTATTGCTGTCTAAGGCTTATCTTCTTCCGCGATTGGAATTTGGTTGTGCGCTTTTTCTAGGTCGATAGTTGAAAACATTTTTTTATTGTGTAATATGCGGGTGAAGTCGTGTAGATGGGGAATTGGGTATCGATCAGGCAGTGTTATGGAATTGAGTTTTCTGTAGTCTCCACACGGTCGCCATTTACCATACTTCTTCGCTGCTAAATGTAATGGGCTTGCCCAGTTACTGTCACTTGGTCTGCAAATTCCGTGTTTTATCATAAATTCGAATTCCTTCTTCGCTATTTCGTATTTCCCCGGATTTAATCGCCGGGGTCTTGCAAATACTGGTTGTCCTCTTGCGACAATTTGATGTTGGACCAATGACACTTTCCGTACTATTTTATTTAACGTAACTGGTTCAGTTATTTCTTTAAAATCCTGTAGTACGTTGTGTACTGGACTAGCTGCGTCAACAGTACTTAGTGTTATGCAGTACGCCTTCTTCTTTGTACCCCCTATCTGGAGGCCTGTGATGCCGTCGCAAATTCTTTTATTTTTAAGGTCTACTATTAGGCTAAAATTGTTAAGGAAATTTGCTCCAATTTGGATGATTCACGTCTGCAATTAGGAACTCCCACTGGAACTTTCTACGCATCCCTAAATTGACGCATTAATTTTGTTCCGTCCGTACGAATTTTCGTTCCGTTCGCCGCATATAGGCAGTACTGCTTGGCGATTGCATTGACGGTTTGCATTTTTTTTTGGTAATATTGAAACTTCAGCTCCGGTGTCTATAAGGTAGCTTAAATTTGCATCTTTATCTTTGAAGAATAGACGGCATGTTTGACCTTTTGCCACTTCATCCGCCGTCGGGGATGAAGTGGAATTTAGTTTTCCTCTAAATTTCGCAGTTTCCTGAACTGATATGGTTGTACACATTTTGTGGACTTTTCCTTAAAACGTCGGTGATAAAAATAGATATCACTTCTTTGTGCACTTGGTGAACTTTCTCTACCGCATTTTTATCACTACTTCTTTCTCTTTTGTTTACTTGAATGACCAGATCTTTTACCATCGTTTTAAGCTCTTTTATTTCATTCTTCATCTCGACTAATTCGTCTGGGCTATGTTGTACTGCATACACCGTTCCTATATCTTGAACCTCGACTATTTTATCCGCGACTTTGGCTCACTGTCACCTTCTACAGTTGCTACTATCGATCTAAATGCCGTTGGCAATCTCTGCAGTCATAACGATTTTATAACGTCATCTCCCATTGAGTTGCCGGCCATTTCTTCCATCTTTTTTAACAGTTGTGTTGGCTTCATATCGCCCAGCTTCAACTCTGTTATTAATTTGCGCAGCCTTTTATGTTAGGATTCAGTGAATTCATTCATTAACCGTTTTTTTATTGTCTCGTACTTTAATGTTGCAGGTGGGTCTCGAATTATATCGGCTATGCACCCCAAGTACTTTGGTTCTACCCCTGCCACCACGTGATCAAATTTTGTTCCGTCCCTTACTATGCCGGCGTTTCTAAATTCCACCTCCATTTGTAAAAAATAAAGATCCGGTTGTTCTTGAGAGAAAGGTAACAGTTTATCGACACTCGGTATACCTCTTTGGGTGACCAACTTTCACCCTCTTCTTGAAAAAATTTCTCAACCTGGTCATTCATACTTAACACTCTTCACTCGCGCTGTTCTCACTGATCTGACAGAGCTGTCAGGTTGGTTCACTTTTGTTTGTATGGGGAAATCTTGCCATTGCTGCGTTGCTCATAGGTTGACAATGTGTGTTAATTAGGAATTTTTTTCGTCTGCATATGAACAACGCAAACACGTGGTATGACAACGGGCCATAAATTAAGCTCAAGTGGGCTCTAAACGCAAAACCGTCACTTCAAGCTTAACCTAACCTAATCTCACTATCAGTTAAGGATAAGGCCAGATTATTTATGATATACGTACCATATCAGTACGTATATCAAAATGCAAATCTACAGAAACCAACTGCCAGGAACTGGACTTAAGCACACATCAGATTAACTACTTCAATATATAAACCAACAAAGTGAAATAGATATAAAGTGATTAATTTAAGTATTAAAGTTGTTTATTCTTCCTATTCACAAAAATCGAACATCTTGTGCTTAATTATTTTAAATAGATTACATGAGTAATAAATTTGTTTATTCTTCCTATTCGCCCAAATCGAACATCTTGTGCTCTATTATTTTTAATAGATTACATGAGTAATAAAAATTTTATTTGATTTCGATTTTTTAACATTTATAATGAATATATTTGCATAAAATTACATACTGAAAATTAAATTTTTTTTGTACTATTGGTGTGAATTCATTAGTAGAATTTAAAAGCAAAAATATAATTTTGAAAATATTTAATAAATATCCAATTGAGATTTTTATTTCGCCAATCATTGAAAAACTTTCTTACAGATATTTTTCATAATACAAATGTGTAATAATACAAATAATAAGAGTGTTTGTCATAAAAAATGCTTTGCAAAATACGGAATTACATTTGACATATAAAAGTGTGAATGTATGTGTAAAAATTTAGTTTATTCTTCAAGAGATTGAAATAGTTTCCGTTATTCGACACGTAGTCTGTCAGTTTTCTTTGCTTAATAGGAGCAACCGATTGCGACTGTAAGAAAATCTTCGAATCCAATAGTAATTGTACCATTTTGTTGAGTATCGCGCTGTCTGAATGCCTCAGTGAAGCGTTGGACTTGTACACAAAGTACTATAAACTGATCGACTGAGACTTCCTTATGGGTTGCTGGATCACACTTCTTAACTAAGAAATCTATAAACTCTTGAGAAAAACGAAAGCCCATTTGTGAAAAAGCTACAAGGGAAGAGAATAATGAATTTTTAAGCAAATATTTTTTATAAAAATGTGTAAAAAATCCAAACCTTGCGTTAGTTCGTTTGAGTCAATATGTCCAGATCCATCTCGATCATAGGTTTTGAATGTTGTTAGCCACTGATTTATATAATTATAGAGTTTCTCGAATTCGAAAATGTCGATTGTGCCGCTAGCATCGGAATCAAACATGCCTATAAAAATTTGTAGTGTTCACATTAAAAGTAAATAACAAAGATAAGTCGTATGCAATAAAACAAAACTTAAGTATAGAAACAATTTCTTTATGCAAACGTAATTAACATAACTTATAAACAGTTAATATAATTAGCATTAACAAATATGAATCACTTTATCATGTGGTAGATAGATTAATTTTTAATCTACCACACCATTTAAGGCATTAAAGCTTAATTAATACTTACTGATCATCAATTTGCATGCATTATCGGAAAAATTTTCTCCACGTCCATTCACTAGAGCGGCTTGAAGTTCAGCTGAATTAATTTTGCCTGAACGATCGCGATCAACCATAGAAAACCACTGTTGCGCCTGTGGCGACACTTGCGCATTTTGTGGTGGATACGCACCAGGAGGTGGGGCGTAGCCTTGTTGTTGATAGGGATTATATCCACCCTAAAATAGAACAATTTTACTTATATCTTTTATTTAGAGTGAAATTAACTTACGCCATATGACATATTAATTTTCTTGGAATTTAATTAGTGCAAACAATTAAAAAATGCCTGGAAACTTCCGCAAACACCAATCACCTTCAGTATTAAAGTCAAACCAGCTGTCAAACGAAGTAAATCGTAGTGTTGGAAGTGCACAGAAATATTTAGTTCTGTTCTCTGCGATATTTGGTTTGTTCGCATAATTCGGAAGTTTACGTGTCGCATGTTTCTATATAAATTAAGGGAGGACATAATTTCATCACATTATGAAATAAGTTTTCTTATATTAGCACGAAATCAAAAATTTTGATAATTAGTTTTTGAAACTTAGATATTATTTACTTTTATATAACGATTACGGCCTTGTGCGAGTTCGAGTAAATTGAGGTAAAGTAAATTGAACTTTCCTAGGGACGTATGTAAATATGTATTTATTGCACTTATTTATTATTTTTGGTTAAAAGTTTTCAAATTTATTTACTAAACATCTTATAAAATTTTCACGCTTAAGTTACCAACCTAATTTACCTAATTTTTATCTAATTTACCCTACTCAAAATTCTGGTAAATACCAACATTTACTATTTCCCTGAAGTAACCATCAATTAGCTCGAACTCGCACACGGCCTATTATTACTAATACGCAACAATACTTGAGTTGTGAAGGCCTATGTACATTTCAGTAATTTTAATGCTGTAGTATATTCGATAATGGCAACACTGCATAAAGAAATAGAGAAAGAAGTAAAAAAGACAAAATGCGTAGTTGTTGTCGGAATCGTGCAAAGCAGAGTAAACGTGCAGTGGTGTAATCATAATATTTATTAAGATTAAATTGTAAATTATTATAATACTTTAAGTAATAAAGTATATGTTGTTATATATAAGAACATAACAAAGTTGGCGACGAGGATAAAAATTAAAGGATGGCGAGGAGTTTTGGGGTATTGGATCAATTTGACGTTGCGTCGGGGAAGTGGAAGACTTACAGGGAGCAAATGGAGTTTTTTTTTATGGCAAATGAAATCACAGACGATAAAAAGAAAAAAGCAATCTTTTTAGCGTCATGTGGGCCGGAAACCTACACAATATTAAAATCGGTTGCCACACCGATTAATATTGTAGAGGAAACATTCACATTTGAGGCGGCAACTAAGTTATTGACCAACTATTTTTGTCCGGCAGCGAATGCAATAATTGAAAGGTTTAAATTTTATCGGAGAAACCAAGTAGAGGACGAATCAATTATTGAATATTTGGCAGCGCTAAGGAAATTGAGCCAAGACTGCAATTTCAAGGATTTGGAAGAAATGTTACGAGACAGACTAGTCTGTGGCATGCGCGATGAAAATTTACAAAAGCGGCTCCTGGCGAATGACCAGTTAACACTAAAAATAGCGCAGGAGGAAGCTATAGCATCAGAAACAGCACAAAAGAATGCGACGGAACTTAAAACGTCAGCCAGCCTACCAGGGTTGAATAAAATTTCAAGCAACAAGGTAAAACCAAATCGTGCTCCAGTGGACCATATTCAGAATTGTTATCGTTGTCGAGGAAATCATCATTCAGATCAGTGCAAATTTAAAGACGCGGAATGTTATTATTGGAAAAAGCGTGGACATATTGAGAGAGCTTGTATAAAAAAAGAAAAAACCAAAAAGCCAGCAACAAATAATGGAAGAAGACCAAACAGAGTAAATCTTTTAGATACAAACCAGGAAACTCAAAAGACAGAGTATTTATGGTCAATGTTCGTTAAAGGTAGTCCATCGGTCAAGAGAGTGATTACGATAAGTAAGTCACCGGTACAAATGGAAATAGATTCGGGGGCAAGTTACTCAATAATAAGTGAAAAGTTATTTAGAGAAAAAATGCCGTATATTCCGCTAAAACCAAGTCAAATACAATTAAGAACTTGGGGAACAGAGAAAAATCTTAAACTGAGTGGAGAAGCAGAAGTACCAGTCTCGGTTGGGAACGTCACAAAGAAACAAAAGTTGTTAGTAGCAGCGGGTGAAGGTCCGGCTCTAATCGGTCGAAATTGGTTTAACGATTTGGGAATTACTATAACCAGCAATTTATGCAATATAGAATCAACTATTCCAGTAGAAGTGATGAACTTCAGTTCAGTTTTTGATGGAAATCTTGGAGATTACAAGGGAAATCCTGTGAAGTTACAAATGTCAGTTTCAAGTAAACCGAAATTTCTTCGATATCGACAAGTGCCGTTTGCACTAAAACTCAAGGTGGAAGCAGCATTAAAGAAGTTGGAAGATGAAGGCGCACTACGTTCAATATCCTTTAGTGAGTGGGCAACACCGGTTGTACCTATAATTAAACCAGATGGTAGCATACGCATTTGTGGAGATTATAAGTGCACAGTGAATCAAATGCTTTGCAAGGAAACGTATCCATTACCTACTAATACAGAAGTGCTAGCAACATTAGCAAATTGTAAGTGGTTTACAAAGCTGGATTTAGATCGAGCGTATACACAGGTGAAGGTTGACCAAGAATCAGCAAGGATACTTACATTAAACACACATCGCGGACTTTTTGAAGTTACAAGATTACCGTTTGGAATTTCAACGGCACCAGGTATATTTCAACGGGTGATGGAAGGAGTTCTTAAGAACATAGATGGTGTGATTATTTATTTAGATGACATTCTAATTGGCGGAACAACTTTGGAAGAGTTGTGGGATAGAACACGAACTGCTCTGAAACGTGTACAGGATGCAGGATTGAAGCTTAAAAAATCAAAATGTGTTTTCGCAGTACAAGAGATAACATTTTTGGGGTTTAAGATAAGCCGAGAAGGAGTGCGTCCAACTGACGAAAAGGTGAAGGCAATAGCTCAAGCACCAGAACCAATAAATAAACAGCAGCTACAAGCTTTTCTTGGGTTAATTACATTTTATGATAGATTTTTACAAAATAAGGGCGATCTATTGGAACCGCTGTATCGACTATTAAGAAAAGAGATACCTTTTAAATGGGGTAAAGAACAGAAATTAAGTTTTGAACGAGCAAAGAAACTATTACAATCAAAAAATCTTTTGGTGCATTATTCGGCTGACTTACCACTGATATTATGCGGAGACGCATCACCGTATGGAGTTGGAGTTGTTTTGGCACACAAGATGCCGGATGATAGAGAAGCACCGATTGCTTTTGGCTCCAGAACATTACAGGGCGCGGAACGAAATTATTCACAGTTGGATAAAGAAGCGCTAGCGATTATGTTTGGTGTGCAAAAGTTTCATCAATTTTTAAGTGGTAGACAATTTACAATAATGACTGATCATACATAAACCACTAGTGGGATTATTTAATCCAGAAAAACCAATATCACAGCATATATCACCCAGAATGTTAAGGTGGTCGTTAAAGTTAGGCGCTTACCAGTACGAGATTAAATTCCGAGAAGGGAAACATCACCAGAATGCAGATGCATTGAGCCGGTTACCTTTAAATGATGTAAAGCTACAAATACCGGAAATACCTGAAATATTATACTGCAATGAGGCTGAGGAACAGTTTTTAATCACTGCGAAAGAAATTGCACAAGCAACCAGAAGAGATCCAATACTATCAAAAGTAATGTGGCATATCCAAAGGAAAGATACAGTTTTGCCATATAAATCAATCCAGTTTAAACCGTTTGTGAATAAAATCCAGGAACTATCAGTGAATGCACAATGTTTGTTATGGGGAGCCAGGGTAATAATACCAGCAACACTACGTCCCAGAATACTTGAGATGTTGCACGAAGTTCATCAAGGCATGTCGGCAATGAAAGCAGTTGCGCGAAGCTATTTTTGGTGGCCTGGTTTAGATGAAGATATAGAAATGTTAGCCAGACGTTGTGAAAAGTGTGCATGTAACAAAAAGAATCCTCCAGTAGCAGCAGGTAAACCATGGCCAGCAACGCTAAGGCCATGGTCACGGTTACATATTGATTATGCGGGACCCTTTATGGGTACAAATTTTTTTATCGTCGTAGATGCTCATAGCAAGTGGGTAGAGGTAAAAATAACCAGTAAAATAAATGCGATTAGAACAATCGAGTTAATGAGAGAAATATTTGCAACACATGGTATACCAGATACCATTGTGTCCGATAATGGGCGAACGTTTGTGTCAGAAGAATTTGAGAAATATTTAAAACTTAGCGGTATAAAGCACATACGTACGGCACCGTATCATCCATCGTCAAACGGGCAAGCAGAAAGGTTTGTACAAACCATTAAGAATCACCTTAAGAAAATGCAGTCTTCAGACATCAGTAAGAATTTGGCAAATATACTTTTGCATCTGCGTACAACTCCTAATGCAAATTCAAATTTGAGTCCAGCAGAAATCTTGATGGGAAGGAAGTTGAAAACATTGTTAGATCATTTGCACCCCAGTGATCACAACACTCAGAAGCAGCTAAATTCTGATGAGTATTCCAAACAAATAAAACCAGTTCGCAGTTTCCAGTGTGGTGAAAGTGTTTGGTACCGAAATTTTGGAAGAGGTGAAAAGTGGATGCCAGGGATTATACAATCAACAGGAGATCGCAACTACAAAATTCAATCAAATAGTGACATATTGTCGAGACATATTGACCAGTTGCATAAGCGAGTTTCGGAGACACCGACAAGGTTAGAATCCAATATAACTCCAGTAGCAGTAACTTCAGTGGCACAACCGGAAGAGCAAGACGACCAAGTAAGTGCAGGTCAGTCATCAAATGAATATATCCTGCCAGATAGTCAAGTAGAGGGGTCATTAGAAGAAAAAGATAAAAGAGATGAAACATTAAAATCGCGACCGTACCGGCAGAGGCAACCGCCAAAAAGGTTACGGGACTATTTGATGGGGGAGGAACTGTAGTATATTCGATAATGGCAACACTGCATAAAGAAATAGAGAAAGAAGTAAAAAAGACAAAATGCGTAGTTGTTGTCGGAATCGTGCAAAGCAGAGTAAACGTGCTGTGGTGTAATCATAATATTTATTAAGATTAAATTGTAAATTATTATAATACTTTAAGTAATAAAGTATATGTTGTTATATATAAGAACATAACAAATGCATTAATTTTTATGCTTGCAAAACTTAATGAATTCTGTAGAATATAAAATTCGTATACATAAACTCTATATGGTTAAATGTGTGTGTGTAAAAAAGCAATATCCAAACAGCCCTTAGTAGAAGAGAGTCGACTGAAATTATCACTTTTGATATTTCTAAAGCTTTTGACAAGGTCTGGTAGGCTAACTAAGATCATCATCGGCAGCTTCCTACGTGGGAGTTCCTTTCGCACGAAAATCAAATATTTTTAGAAGTAATTTAACATTTATTTTGATATATAGAATATACTATCTCTATCTCGATTCTTGATTATTGCATTATAATAAAATCCCCGTGTAAATGTGAAAAAGAATATATCAAAAAATGACAGAACAAAAATGATGCGCATGTATGGATATCATTACCCTTTCAATAGCATCAAAGTATGGGTACAATTTCAATAAATTAAATGAAGTTACAAAAACTGATTTTAACGCCAGTGTGGCATGAGCCAAAAGCGATATAATTAGCTATTCTTTTGCTAATTCAAAAAGACTTTTAAGAATAAATAGAATTATACCCCATATAAAGATAATCGCATTACTATGTGTAATATAACACATCAATTTTAAATTTCATAATGGATAATATTGAGTTGAAGTTTGAAGCTGACTTCTAATACCTTAGAATTTTAATTTAATTGTTTATTAATTTTTATAAACAATTATTTTTATTACAGATATTTCGGACTACGGTCTACATCTTTAGTGTACAATGTTTTAGTATCTGTCTTTTGTATTTTTGGAACAATTACAAGATTTGTAATATATATAGTTATATATGGCACATTATAGAATATATATGGAATTATAGAATATAAGTGGAATTATAAATTATGTATGATGTATATATATTGAACATTTTATATTCTGCCCAATATTTTAATAAAATAATTATTAAAATATTGGTGTAATTACTAAAATAAGATGTAATAATGTAATAATACTTAAAATCAAAAGAAGGATTATATACTTATATAACACGTATAGATTTTAATAGTCATGGTGAGTCATATTTTGTTGTATGAAATTAACTCAAATTGATTAATAACGATAAACTGAATTTATGATTTCGTTTTTTACAATTGTATATTTTATAGATAAAAATATCTCTTATTTATATATGTGATAGCAACTAATTAGTAGTAGTATGGCAAATTTTAATATAATTAAAGCTTTCTAATTGTTTCATAGTATACTTTTAGCTTGGAAAATATACAACCATATATTCTAATGACAATAATTATTGTAATAAATCAGCAATAATCAAGGTAATTGGTATTCCAATGAATCGCATTTATTGGGGTATATGACATTAATTGTAATTAATGGTTCTCGTTGAACAAGTTGTAACTTCTATTTGAATTGTATTCGATGATTTTTGTGTATAAGCAATAAAATATTGCACTAAATGAATGTTTAAGCTAAAAACTTTACTTACTGGCATCACTACTCTGAACAGCTGACACTGTTTGAATAGCACTGTAAACGCGGCAATTACTTTTAATATTAAATAAATACGGAAGACGCCGCATTAGTTTCAATCAAAATGTCGAATTTCGTAAATATGGATGTTTTTGCTAATTATCAAAAGTATATTGATAATGAGCAAGAGATTCGAGAAGTATGTGAAATATATATTATAATTAATCAAAAGTAGCATAAATCTTTTAGAACATTCGTACCGTAGTCCGTGAAATTGAACAGTTGGCTAAAGAATCAACAATTCAGCTACAAATCATCCACTGTGATTTGAAGAAAAGTATGTTTCTAATATTTATTTTCTGAAATTGAATATTCTTCATTTATATATATTTTATAAAGTTGATTACGCTTGCGCAGAGGCACGTAAGCAAATTTTGGCGTGTGCAGAAAGCTACCAAAAACTTGCTGCCTTGATACCAAATGGTCAATATTACCGGTGAGTCACTGACGCCTTCTACTAAGTTTTTGTTTTGCAACTATCGCGCTTTATTTTTAAGGTATTCTGATCATTGGACTTATATTACTCAGAAATGTGTATTTCTGATTGCCTTAGTGGTGTATTTGGAAGCTGGATTTTTGGTGACACGTGAGACTGTTGCTGAAATGCTATCATGTAGGTCTTAACAAGTATAGATGTATTACTGAACATAAATTTTTATCATTTTTATTTAACAGTAAAAACTAATCATGCTGAAGGGTTTCATTTGGATATAGAGGATTACCTGCATGGTATTTTGCAACTAGCTTCTGAGCTGTCACGTTTCGCTACTAATTCAGTGACCATGGGTGACTATGATCGTCCACTTAATATTTCGCATTTCTTGGCAGATGTTAATTCTGGTTTCCGACTTCTGAATCTTAAAAATGATGGCTTACGCAAACGTTTTGATGCTTTGAAGTATGATGTTAAGAAAATTGAAGAAGTTGTTTATGATATCAGCATACGCGGCTTACGAAGCACAGCTGAAGGTGATGGCACAGAAAAGGATAAAAACGACTAGTGGCTTTTTTCGTCAAAAAGTATTAACATTGTTATAAGTTTTATACAATTTTTCATCAAATATATTTAATATTAACTTTTGAAGTGCTTTGAAATTAAAAACAAGTACATTTTAATTACAAAGAAGATTGTAGTAGTTTGACAATAATTACTGAAGCTAACATAACTTAGTATAAGGTCGGCTTATTTAAAAAAAAATTTAAGTAGAGCTGAAGGTTTGTATTATTTCAGAAATAATCGCTAAAAGTGGCGAAATGGGATTGAGAGTTCCATATTAAATGGTTTTAGTGTTACAAAATATATCACTGTACCGTTTTTAGTATTACTTATTAAATATCCAAATTGTAGCAACTTATTGTAAATTTAATTTAGAAGAAATACGATGCATTTTAGTAAATCATTCGATCGACTTCACAATCTCGTACCTTCTTTCGCTTGATCAGTTAGTTGCACCGTGGCTCCTAAAGTGTTAATGTACTCTTTTTAACCGGCAGCTTAAAGTGTTTACAGCTGCACTTCCATTCTGCATGGATAGCCAAATGTGGTTGCAACTGCAGGTCCGAAATGTGCTTAACCGACTTGAATAAAACTATGCTTCAAGTTATTTGTTTATTCTGTATTTAAGTTTATTTGTTATTAACTTAATATTTGTTATTGTATCACTCGTACATATACATATATATATATGTATATAATTTTTTATTTATATTTGAACTGGCACACCAACAAAATTCTGTTTAATGGAATGGGAAAATATATGAACTAAATGTAGAGTTAGCGAAATTCAATCGATTTTATAGTAAATTTAATGTGAAAAATTAAAAAAAATTATTTAATATGAAAATGAAAATAAACATCTGAATTAAGAATTTTTCTGTGATTTACTTTGTAAAATCTGCAACGTTAAGTTTCTTTTACATTAAATGGTAAAAAAATAAATTGCCGCAAAATATTAAAATTCGGTAATGTTTTTTATGAATATAAATTCTTCAGGCCTTCGAACCGGAATTTTTTTCGTTCCGGTTCAAAAGATTAAAAATATATCGGTTCGATTCCAGTTTTTGTTCTTGCAAAAATATTGGTTTATTTTGGTATTAGGTTCGGTTCCGGTTCGAAGCCCTGGAATTCTTATACAAACATTACAACAATTGATAATACAATTAATTAATAGTATTAATTGCTGTAAAATTATTTATTAATTTTTTATCTATAGGTATTATTTGCATCCTTATTAAGATTGCAAAGAATAATTCTTTGTCGTCAACGTGAGATTTTTTAACTATTGTAAGATTCCTGGATGATCGTCTGTTCGCTGATAATTTATTAACCGACGACGAATTCATTAATTTTTAGATTATAGATCGGTGAGGGTCTTTTAGATCGGTGTTGCACATTTATCAAAACTTATGATATGAGTTTGCATATCTAACTAGAAAACTAAATCGATGGAGTATGGTCAATGCAAGAAAGTACGAAAAAATTATTGTAAAATAAGGTTGTGTCTAGATGAAAGAAGACCTTATTCTACACCTTGTGCGATTCTATTTCATTAACTATTTATTCAATTAGTATTGAGTATTTTTAAACAAAAGGAGTATTTTTATTTTATATTTTTATTTTGAAGGAGGAACTGGGTATTGAGTTCTTAGATTGACCAGGTAACAACCATAACCTCAAACTCAAATAGAATGTCTGAGTCATTATGAGTACATAAACTATAGTTGGATTCAGGGAAACTATAGAAATTAATGACCTGTATAGATAAACAAACGAATATCCAAAGAGTATTCCCAATATTTAATGCTCAATAGGATAAAATGCGTAATTAAAGTCAAAAGTGGTACTACGATGTATTACATTAAATTAATAAATGCTAAATTATATTGCCGATGTATTACATTAAATTAATAAATGCTAAATTATATTGCTTGGCAAGGAAATTATCATTATATTGTAATAAATGAAGGACTTCATTAGAAAAAATTTAGTTTTTTGTTGTTGTTATAATTAAAAGCAATTTTAAGTTGCTTGATCAAATTGTTACACAGCTGTTAAATCTAGTGTGATTTTGAAAAAATAATTATTTTTAATTACATGAAATTAAATTAACAGAATAAATTGTGGGGAAACCCTAGTGTCGAAAAGGCACAAATGCATAAAATTTCAATATGCGCCTTTTTTTTCTATTTTAATATAATTGAGTGGTCCATATGTGCTGTTTTAAATTAAACATAATAAAAACAGAACTATTCAAATTTAGTAAAAATTTGATATTTCCATTCAAGTCTTTTAACAAATCTATATTAAGGACTGAGTAATACATAAAGCGTATAAACATATATACAATATTTGAATATTAAAGCAGGCCACAGGTAGATGAAATCTATGTTGGATACTGTTTTAAAAGCACTGTGATCATGTTCGAAAGTAATTCAAACCAATATTTATAAAGGAGTATGAAATATTTCAATAAATAGTTCATTTATTTATTAATAAACTGAAATATTTATACGAAAAAACAATTATTATTTTTAATTCTTAGATTTAATTATAGCTAAATAATTAATAAATCGATTATCATCAATATAGTGTTTGAGATCTGGAAAATGTGTTGGCAGCCCTTATTTTTTACACTCTCACTTGTTTGCTTGAAAAACGGTTTTTAAAAATAAAACATTTTAACGCAGCGAGTTGCACAGTTCGGTTGAGGTTTCTTGTGGGTCGTGTGTGTTGCAGTGTATGGTTGTGTTGTTGTATATTAAAATTCGTTGCATTTCTAAGTGAAAGTTTTATTTCCGTGAAGATCTAAAATAAAAATGCATTCAATTTATGTTAAACAAAAGTTAGAATAGTGCATTTGTGGTTTTTTACAATTTTAATGCGAAAAAAATAAAGTCTGCATACCAATTTCTTTAACTTTAGGTGTACCAGGTTCTTGAGATAAGAATCTATAAAACAGTTACCGAGCGGTTTTCTGAATTAACGTTCTTGATTTTTTAATTTCGAATACGTAAGTTTAATTTTTTATTTTTTATAATTGCTTAGTGATACTATATGCAGAAATGCAATATTTACTTAATTAAACGTAAACAAAAATGTGTTTTTTTTTCCATGAACCAAATTTAATCTCCTAGCAAAAGGTAGTTAATTAGATACATTCCTTCCTTCCAAAAATAGTTTATACATATTTTTTATTAAAATTTAATTGTTTTAAATCATATATAAATAAATGTTATCAAAAATTAACAATTTCTATTGCACATAAAACATTCATATGTATAAATAACTAAATATTTCTAATATTTATATTGTATTATATATATATTATTATATATATATTATTATATATTATATTATTGTTTACTATATAATACACAAATGTAATAATATACTTATTTTTATTATATTTGAATATTATTATTATTATTAGAATTATTTATTTTAATGGCTTATATATAGATAATATTTAATAATAAATTAAAAAAATTGCGTTTTGATAAATGTCTATCTATAAAATACAATATTAATGAATTACTATCTTTTTGCAATATTTGATTATTAATCAAAAAATTAATTAAAATTAATTAATTAAAAACCTTGCTAATATTTGGTCCCATAACACACTTACCTATGTTACGTACATATATATGGAGTGCTATTTTCTAGATATTCATGAAAGAGTCAATTTTATGTATCTAGAATAATGAATTTTTATGGAACAAGCTTTGCTTTAGCTCTACACTGATGACCCCTTTATAAGGTAACCAGTTACATAATAAATACCATTTAAAATGGTTTTATTTTCAAAAAGAGACTTTGACTTGTAGAAACAAAAGCGATCTTTATTACTAAGAAACGTAATTAACATCCACCAAGATTACTTGTCGATAAAATGAGATATCCTGAAATACTTCGGCTTTATAATGACAACGAAAAGTTGTCCTAGAAAAATCATATATGCATTAAACAAGCTTCGTATATGCAAACAGTAGTATCTCAATCCACTTTTAAAAAGACACAAGCTTAACTTCAAAAAAATATTGTCAATTGATGAATAAATAGTACGGTCCACATATGAGAGTATGGTAGGTTCCCAAAACTACTCTCAAATGCATACAATCATACCAATTTCAACTTCTAAAAAGGATCACGAGATCGCCGGGTACATTAGGTCTACAGATTTATACAAAGATCTCTTTATCGAGGATTTACATATATATGTATACCTATATTATTGGTGCAAGGCGTGGAGTAATCGCTGGCAATATATTTGATTTAGTTTTCAAAACTATTAAAAATATATATTAAAAATTCTTAACATGATTTACTAAATCATTAATCAATATTCATATATTAAAAACATCAAACTGTATATGAATTGCATATAAATTCAAATTAATTATAAAACAAACTTCTTCACTGTTTAACTGACCTTATATACATATATGTATATTTTGGGGGATTTAAAAGTTACTGCCGTTTTTGCTACGTTAAAAAATTAAAAATTAATTTTAATAATTTTAATAATTATTCATTACCTTTTGCTATTGTTCGGGTAGTTTTATAATGCCATCGGTGTAGAATTTCTGTGGTTTATTGGCGAAAATCATAAGTGATTTTCAGCAGATTTTTGGTCAGCTAATTTTTCACTATTAGAAGAGTTTTGCCGGTCTTTAATATTATCGTATTTAATCTATTTTAATCCATTAAACATTTCTTCTATAACGATTTGTTGAACACGAAAAATGCTTTTCTGGAGAATGTATTGTATTAAAGATATAGAAACTTTGCCTCTTCACTTAAGTTCCCTTTTTTCATTTTATCTTCATTTTTTCAACTTATGCTATATTTACCGTGATATCTGGTAAATATGCCCGGACTTATTCAGAGACTCTTTAAAATAATTTACAATTCATTTTATAATTTATATTAGTTTTTAAATTTCTAAGTGTTATTGTTAGGCTACGATTCAATAAAGACATATTGTTAAATAAAAAAAAAATCTTCATTCTTCATATATTAATTATATTTAATACTTAATAAATTGTTACAAAGATTTCGTTATTTCAAGATAAGGATTATATTATTTTTAACTC